ATTAGAATGCCAAACATTTTTCCTAACCTGGCTTTATCTCTCAATATCTGGTGCATCATAATAGGAGAAGTGCATACAATAAGGGTGTACTAAAATGCTCAAACTTTCAAAGACCTTGTCGTCAGTGATAGAAACTAGAGCATCTGCGCTGAGCTAGCCCTGCATCTGCAGTTTAGTTTTGACTCTTTCAAAACTAGGTCACTGTGTCTTTTAAGTTGTAAACAAGGAGTTGCAGTAGATACCATAATTGAAGGCTGTGGAATATGCTTTGAACCTCCTTGGGCTTGATAAAAAATTAAAATACTACACTGCAACTCTCTGAAGGAAGGCTTGGGTAGAGCTAGTATTATCAGAAATATACTAATTGTGATTTGACTTTATATTTCATATAAAGTTTTAAAAAAGTCACAATGAAGGGCAAGATTCAATTTATAACTCATAACTGTAACACCCCCACCCCCTGAATTATTTTTGTTATTATTGAAATAATTGTAACGGACATATAATTGTACTACCTGGAAAAATCTCTCAAAATTATTGGGCAGCATAACTGAACCCTCTTAGAAAATCTGAGACTGCATTCCTTTTATTTAAGAAAAAAAAAAAAAAAAAAATTCAAGCAAAAATATGTAATTTTTATGATGATGTAAATGATAGAAGAATTAACATTTACTGATTTGTGTAAGGCATGCAAACATAATACTATGGTGGGCACCGCTAATTACTGTAAGAAAATATAAAATGCGCGTTTAAAACCGACTTACAATTATTATTACTTTGCTAAACCTTGATTATCTCTGAATAATAAAATTATATATAAGACTGGTTTGGGCATTCAGGCGTTGCTGTGGTGCAACAGGCATGTGAATTTAAGGATAGTTCTTCTCCATTTATCCTTTAACAGCCACGACTTAAAAGCCCCTGACATTCACACTGTGAAAAATAATCTTTCCAATACAGCATCTTTTTCCTGATAGTGTACTTTGTACATATATGATATAACAGAAAAAAATTAAATATAAACAACACACAGTACAGAATATAACTTATCAGTCAAGTTGAGGTCAATTAGGGCTAATAACGGAATCAAAAACATTCGATGTGTGCTTGTCTAGTAGCAGCTGAAAGCATTAATTAATCCTGTTGTCACATTTATTGGTGTAAAAAATGGGTAAATTTCTCTTCAGTATGCTGGGAAGACGGAAAACAGGAAGGGAGCATGGCGCCACCAGTTTTTCTCACCAATCACGTCAATTTATTTTTACATTTGATGAAACTGATGAGCAATTAAAATGTATAACAATTTTTCATATTTCTTTTCAAATTACCATTTGAATTCAGACTTTTACTTGAGCATGACCTACCTATAACTTGTAATTTGAAAGTTAAACTCACATAATTACCAGTAGCATGATTTTAATTATCAATCCTCTATATGTACATCATTCTGTGACATCAGATGTTAATACACTCTTCTACTTTTTATATAAATAACTAATGAATAACACATGCAATTCATTCAATCCTAAACATTTTGTTATAATTGAAATTTTTCTGTATTATTGGTCTCTTATGTGCTCATGTGCTGCAACACAAAATATCAATTTGTTATGTGCATCTTCATATGTGTAAGTGTGCATGGCAGTAGTATTAGTTTAGCATTTTTATTATACATTTATTTATGAATGTTGATTCACTAAAAAAATCTATACACATTTTTTAATAAACTCCCCTTTCAATTTACATTGAGTACATAAACATTTAAGAGCACTCACTTCTGTTTCCTAACTATATATTTTAATATATTCTAAAATATTAGATGAATGTGATATATATTACAAGACATGTAGGTATACCGTGTGTACAAATGGAATTTAATCTAGAGTCACTATAAAATCAAAACTGAGCCCTACTACAGCTAAAACCTTGCCATTTCAAAAACAATGCTTTCATCAAACAATGAAGCATTCAGGAATACATTGAACATTTTAAGTTTCAAGATGTTTAATATTAAACAGCTGACAGAGGAACGACATGTTTAGAAGAAACTGCTATTGCAGGCATGAACAAAAAAAAAAAAGCTGAAAAGACGCTTACCTATATTGTTGAGTCTTGAGATAGGCTTGAGCACGGTTTCCATATAAAATGTGACTGTAGGGGCTAGAATAGCAACCAAACATTATGTCACTGTATGTATGAAATATAGTTTTATATCTTGCTTATATCTTGACTCATTTAATATTATGTATTTTATTTTTATTTAAACCTTGCCAGCCCAGAGGAACTGTCTGCAATATCAAACATTTTGAATATCCTCTTTAGTTTTAAGCAATCATGACCCGAGGAACAGGTAGTTTCCCCATGTCTGTTTTCTCTCTCTCTCTCTCTTTTGGAGGTCTATAACATGTACAATGGCACGTGGAACCTTTTATCTCTCTTAAAATAAACACTTAAATAGATATAATGATATTATCCATTGACTAAGGACAAGTAGGGCACCACAAGAGTTCACAAATAGCCATTTGGAATTTCCACATTAAGGGGAATCCCCTCATGATAACAATGCACTCCATGAAGCCATTGTTGAGATATCATTTGACAACACTTAGATTTTCCTTCAAGAATTCAGATTAAAAAATTTACACCAGTTTTATAATAAGTTTGTGCAAATTTTGACTATCAAAGTAAATACACAATTTTTAAAAAGTTTATTAAAGCAATATAAGTAATGTGCTGCACATTCTGTTGATTATAAAAAAAGGTAATCATGTCCTCACCTGACTGCTATACCTTTGGTGTAATGTGCAATTGCACCCTTGAATTTGCCCATGGAGAAAGCTAAATTACCAAGATTTTTAGTATCTTTGCTTTTCTACAAAAAAAGAAATTAATAAAATAATAATTACTTAAATTGTTAATCCCTGGACTGATGCATTTAATTCCGCAAACTTTACGATATTTTCAAACTAACCAAAATGCAATTCACATACATGTGCTAGTAAGGCAAAAAGTAATAATCAAAATTGGATGACTAAATGTGTTTTCCTCCAAATTTCATTTTGTTCATTTACAAAGCATGGAGCTTTTCTAAAGAATGAATACAACAAATTTAAATATATATTTCCTTGGATGCAAACCAAATATATACACATTAGAAAAAAAAAAAAAAACTCATGCAATTAAATAATCATACCTTTTCATCAGCTCTGTATTCCTCTTCAAATTTCTCCAACATATCTTTACCCAGGAAGGTTAGATTCACAACATGATTCGAGTCTAAAACCAATATGTAAATCATCTAAAATAATTTCAAGAAAACTCATTCACTCTGAATTTAGAGTGAAAATAAAGTGGCTTATAGGTGCATTTTTAATGTATCATGAGCTGGGGCCTCATAATTATATTTAAGTAGTTTGCTACCGAAAGTGTAAATTTCTCATACTTTCACTCTTGGTTCTACTCTATATGTACTAGACCGGATGTGAAGATTATGCAAATGCAAGTTATCAAATTTCCCTGCTTCATGGTTTTAAACTCTGTTGGCACAATTAAGTCAATCTTTCTTTGGTGATACTGGGACTAGCAGTAGGACTTACACTGACGACATGCAAAAAGGAAACTGAACTTGACTTTTCGGTTTCTGCCTGGTAATTCTTTCCTGAAAAATAACATCAGATAAAATGACAGAGTACACTTCTAAGAACAGAAAAGACCAGAATATTTATTACAAATTAGAAAGGGGTAGCGCTAGCAACTTTTTTCGCTTAGCCAAATCAGCACTTTTTTGTCAATTTGTTATCCAAATGGTTATAATTTGACTAAAACAAGTCAAATCAAGCCCATTTCGTTTAGCCAATTTATGTCAGTTTTAGCATTTGGCTAAACTGGCAAGTGTTAGCGCTACCCCAGGTTAATTAATTAAGCCCTTCAAAATGTCTTTGAGCTTTCTCAAGATGACTACACATCAAATAATGAGTGAGGTCATGCCCCCCACCCCCACCCCCCAACACGAACATGCAGACAGAGCTTACTTAATGGTCTTGAACATGCTCTGGTTATCAATGAACTTGTCGTATGCTTTAACAGCTTTCTCCCACATGTCCACCTTGTCACATGTCTCCACCAGGTTCATTATGACACACAGGCAGGAGGCATCCTTCTGCAAGACAGGACACAAATTATTAGTGAGTTTTATATTGCAAGAAATAATGAAAAACAAACAAAATGGCCAGATCCTTCTGAAACAATCTCTCTGCCTATGTGATGAAGAGAACCATCCAATGAAAACCAGGAAAGGTTACAAATTGCATTCCCTGAAAAATGTTCACTAGCAGTTAAGACGATAAATAAAAATAATTTCTTTTCATATCGCTGTTCACATTGGGTGGACCTATCTAGGTACAACCAATCTCAGTCTGATTCGTAATTGCAATGAGCATTATTCAGTGGTCCATATAGCTTACAACAGACAGCCAATCTATTCCCTCTGTTGTCCCACCCTATGCCACCATGTTAAACTGAGGGTAATAATGTCTAATTATGATAACCTCACCAAAGGCTACACATCTAATCCCTCTTTTGTTCCACCAACCACCACATTTATGGTAAATCAAATGCCTCTAAGGTGAGCTTAATTACTTTCAGATTACCAGCTAAGATGGGCCTTTACGAGTTGGATCTGCTTGTGGTGACTGTAACATGGCACTCTGCTAAAATACAGACATTCTCTCCCTCTCTCAACACACAAATATGGTCACTCACCAAATGGGAAATAAGGACATCAAACACTTTCTCCAGCAACTCAATATTTTCCATCTCCTCTTGCTGTAATGCCTCTACCCTTGCCTCTGTATAACACGAACTGAGCAACAGTCCTGGTAGAGGAAAACAATACTACTATTATAACTAAGAAAACACAGCACAGCATTAAGACATTTTGAAAAGCAAAAATCATGATAGCATATTTCAATATCAAATAGTTATGAAATAGTTTATCTGTTATGGTCAATGTTTAATAATCTTTTTTTTTTACAATTTAGGCTCACCTGCACACTTGGCCCAGTTCAGCCATTTTTCTGGTTGATGGAATTTTTGCCCAAACAAGAAAGGGCTCAGCATGTAAACCTTCACCACCCGCTCTTGCTTCTCTGCATTCTTGCCTTTCATCAACCTCTTGAACCACATTTTTGCTGCCTCTTCTATAAATCAAGAAAAATCAAAACACTGCAAAAGTTGCTGAAGACATGCTAAATATATACCTATTTTTTAAAATTCATTTTCTTTTCCTAATCGTCTATTATTCTTGAATCATAAATAACTGTGCTTTTGACTTTTTTCTTCTCTTGCCCATCAAAAATAGCAAATTAAGAAATAAATACACTCTCACATTATTCAATAAAATTTTAGAAAACTAATTCTGGATATGAAAGAATGCAAAAAATATTTTTTTGAAATTTTTTAACCAAACAAGAAATCAATCATTCATAATTTAAAAATGCTCTAATACAAATATCACAGAGTCAGCTTTTTCATAGTCAGCTATCCACAATTAGCAGTCTAGACTAAGACTGGGTTCCCACAAATTTAGATCAATCCATCTGGATTGACCTAACTCCCTCACGCTAAATGGCTGTCAGCTGAGTGTGCACGAAAGTTAATTATCCCCTTACAGCTTTTAGTAGGCGAGACAGACATTTAAGCCGGCTGAGCTGACAACAATCTAGTGAGACTCCCCACGGGGATAGATAGATCTAAAATCTGTGGGAATGCAGTCTAAGCCCAAAATGTCAGAATTATTTCATGACACAGGCCCCGGTTTAATATAATCATGTCCTGAATGAAGCTGAACAGTGAAAACTGACCATTGGATCTGGCCTTGTGCCTCAGGCTCTCCTCCTCACTGTCCGATGCGTCCACTAGGCCTGGCATGTCTGAGTCAGAACCACTCATATTAACTTGAAAACAAAGTTATAAAAAATCTGAAAAAAAAAATGGAGAAAAACCTTATTTATATCTATTAGTGTAAATGTTAGCTTTAAGGAAAAACTAGCATCATATTAAATGGGTTTTATTTATACATGTGATCCTTGTGCTTTTATGCAGCTAATGAAATGCTTTTAACCCAGCAAATTCTGGTCCTTAATCTCAATTTATGACAAAACTCTCTTTACTTGTTAAATATTATGTCCTTATACCACTAAGAAATAATTTGTTTTGATATAAATCTCAATTCAAACTCCTACTTGAAGACAAGATTCTTGACAAAAGCATCTTATTGCTATTAAATTTCTTTATCAGACATGTCACCCCACCTCCTTCAATAAAAAATGTTTACTAGTATAATTTATACATAAAAAAATTCCAAAATTATTTTAATAAATACACACCACCACAGACCTCAGTTGTGAATCAATGGAGTAGTAAAGTAGTACAACTGTAGTAAGTTCAGTCTCCCTATCACACACTTCCAAGAAAACAGCTATCTGGGGGTCGGTAAATTTTCCAAAATGAACATATAGTATCTCCTTTACTTCGAGGTCAGTAACTTGTGTGCCACTCGTCTGACTGCTGTTTACCCAAACTTATCAAGGTGGGGTTATCTTATCATGTGCAGCATTACAACTGATGTCTGTTCACATCAGTTGTAAGTTAAAACTTAAGTGGGGTTGTCATGTCAACTGTGGGACATGTCAACTGATGTGAGGTCTATTCACATCAGTTTTAAGTTAAAACTTTTGGGAAATGGATAAATGAAGTATTTACCAAAGTTGATTACCTGTTGCCATATTTTTGACACATGCTTTTAATAAGATCCGTTATCAGTACATTAAGAGCCTAATTTCAAGCAACATGTAAACTCCTCACTTTATTTCAGATAAACCAGATGCTGGTAAATCTTAACAATGAGAATAATTTATATTTCTTTAACTAGGTCACATTTTATCTCAATTGTCTAGTGTAAACAGTATCTTAAGTATTACCAATGTTACTCCCTTGGATGTTGTAGTGCGTTAGCGTTCTGACTGATAACAAGAATATCACAGATGTGACCTTACATTCATGATGACAGTGGTTTGTATAACATTATCTAAAAACTTGCCACCCAAGACCAAGCAAAAATGCCAACTTCTAGGTCACATTAATTTATTAATAATCAATCCCATAGTTATGTACACTATGTTAGGAAAAGATGGGGAAAAACTGGGGCAGTGCTATATTTTGTCCAGAGCACACTACTGGTTTGAACAACTGCTTCAGCTAGTAGCCAAACTGTGGCAATTTTTTATTTTTGTCTGAGCAAGCATGACAGAAAATATGGGGAGAAATGACATGGTCTGCACTAGGTAATATGGAAATATGGTGCAGATGCTGAGTTTATAAATACAACTTCAGATTTACAAAAATTCTCAATATAATACAGTAAATACTTACATGTATACTAATAAAAATAATGAGAATCTGTTAAATCTGTTTTAGTGTTGCTTCAGCTGCTCTAAGAAATACTGGCCTCAAACTAAATGCAATAGATCCCTTCAGCGAGGTACTGGCTTTTTGTTTCGATGTACGTGTTGTCGAAGCACCTACATATAGCTACAGTAACTGTAGTACTGGCCTTGGAAAGTTAGCACCAATGTTTTCCTGGAAGTAGATTTTTAAAATAACATTGAACTTCTATAAAACCAGTTTGAAAATCTGAATCTATGACGGTCATTTCTAACATATCTGTTATAGCATGAGCACTTATGTTAGTGCTTTTTATGTACATATTCTGAAGGACATCATCAGCTACATGTTCTATAGTTTCCCATTACGCTGGCAGTCTTTTAACTTGCATGTTTAAGTAATAAAATACTAAGGTTTTGGTAGATGCTTAAATCAAAAGCAAAAGTATTTGCCATATAAATACAAGGTTAAGGTTACAATCATAATTTTTTTAAAATTTGATAAATCTAAGAATATCATATATTATGAGTGCAAATTCGTGCATTGCACACAGTCGAACAGTAAAATGTAATGTAAAAATATAGCTGTTTGTACAGAAGTTTTCACTGAATACCAGTGTAAGGTAATTGACCAATTCTAAGGTAAAAAAAAAAACACGAAATAATTCACCTTAAATGTAGATAACTGCATGAACACAGAATGGACAGCACTCGCTAAACTCACAGTTTGGACACTGAACTACGCAGTAATTACTGATAAGCTAGCATGCTTGCTATTTTGTTGTTATGTTCAGTCTTTTCTCTCCCTGAAAACATTCGATCCCTTGTACCTATTATAGTGAGTGACCTAAATAAAATTTCAATGCATTTTTTCTCCATTGTGTACTTAAGAGCAGTCATGTTCATAGTCAATAAACCCACATTTTCATGATGCAGGTGTTTCACTTGTTTAAACACAAAGATCCCAGTAAACTTATTTCATTTAAAGTCAAAAGATGTGATCAAAAGATGTGATTTGCTTATCACGATAAATGTAATTACCGTGCCATGCTTTATTATCGTTTTAGGGGAATTTGTTTTCTACAGCTACTGGTAACAACTAATGCTCGTAATGTGTGCGCCCAACACATGATAGATACATCACCATGGGTTATTTTATTGAACGAAACTTTGGGGAATCACCTTGCCTCAACTATTTTTAAACATGACATAAGGATCTCGCACGTAATACTCTCGCAAGGATGAGAAACACCACCAAACTTCATAATACTTTCCCAACTCACCCTACATCACATTAAACACGCTGCTTTCCTTCAGTCACATGGCTAAATGTTGTATGTCCTGCAGTACAGGAAATGGCGACCGAGTATGCTGAGAGCCGAAAGGGATTTCTAAACCATTTCCGTTCTACTGTAAATTATTATCAGAGTCTGAAAATGCTTGTGAACAGAAAAATGGATTTTACTTCACTTAAATTATGAAATTTAATTATGTTTATGAAAATTAAAAAGTAGGTTTTAAGAATTATTTGAATTTAACATTTCATCCTTACGGTCAACTATAAGAACAATCTACTTATCAAAGACATGCCTCAACGAGCCCCTGTCATGCTGTGCATGTTAATGTGTTGTTGAACGTTGTTTTTCTCTCATATGAAATAATGAAAAGGACACTAAATATAATTCTCATATCCAGTTAGTTAGTCAATTAGCACACGGATGAGTACTGCCCTACATGTGTCCATGCAGAGAGAGAGAGAGAGAGAGAGAGAGAGAGAGAGAGAGAGAAAGAAAAAGAAGATATATTCCACGCATATGCAGACCTTATAGCGATCAAAAAAAATATATAATATATATGTCAAAATCAGAGATAAATTAACGTGAAAGCTGATCCATGGGTTGTATCATCTGCCTGCTGCTATTCAAATGACTGATATGAGGGTCAATTGGGTAATTTCGTTGCCCATGAAAGACATTCATTAATTATTTCCCAAGATGCGCGAAACGTAGGCTACATAAGTTCATTTTATTTAGCGTGATTCGTGCATGCAGCTTTTTATATATTCTCGATCCGTATATTCTCTTATGTATAAACGCCTTTTATTGCTTATGTGAAGTTCAGTTGTTATATATACATTCTTACAGCAAATTAGCTATTGACCCAGAAAAATGTTCTTCTCAAAACTCTTTTACATGTATTTTCTTACTCATGTTTAGGGTACAAATGCGCTTTTGTTTGCGATTGTCGGTTACATATCCTTGCTCTTTATAGGCTGTCTACATGTAGGCCTACATATTTAAGGTTATAGAAAGGGGGCGGGGAGGGTTTACTATTCCCCCAACGCTGAGAGAGGTCCTCACGTGCACGTGTATTTATCATCATCAGCAAGTCGGCGTCCGCACATAATACGGGCGTTGGGGTTTGATCAGATGCCATGCACTAGTCTTTCATGGAATTACTCGATCAGGTCTTCAACCTTTAACTTTGAATCTTGTCTCCTGCAGCAGCACTTTGATGTGGTTTTGAGGGTGTTTTGCATCTAAGTGACCGGGGCCGTAGCAATAGTCCGAAGGTTCAATAGTCCGAAGGTTCATTGGTCCGAATATTCACTATAGAACGTTCGGACCAATGAACCCTTGATTAAAAAATCGATGAAAATGTTACCACTTTTCGGACCAATGAACCTTCGGACTATCGAGACGCCCCCAAGTGACTACGTGTATCATGTAATGAGAAGTTGACAGGGTGATGTTTTCTCACTATAAACACCTTAAACATCAGCAAAACGTGTCCTGCTAGAGGGAGGCGTTTAAAGAGATTGTCCGGGGTGCACCTTAGATCTAGAAATGTTTTCCCATGTACCCACCATTATTTTAATTATTATAGTATTGTTGTTGTTGCTGCTGTTTTGTAATAAATGGTGCCTATATATAAATGTCCATTTTCAGAGGAGTGAGCTTTATGCAGCACCCTGAGTTTGAAAGATCTGATATGACTCTGTCTCATCTTCTTAGGTCAGCTAGGCTCTCTCTATTCCACCGCATGTATAATAGACTTTCGATCTTTGACTCAGGGTAGTTATGGTTCCAAATATTTCATAATAATAATAATAATAATAATAATAATAATAATAATAATAATAATAATTAGAAAAAAGAGAAGGTGTTATACACAAGCCTAGTCTAAAAACTGCCATGCAGTCTGTCACAGTGGAATTTAACTGATGGGAGCATATGAAGCAAAGGGAGTCTACAGTGATGACAGTCTGCCACCCAGTTTGCCCCCTTTTTTGCCGTTCTTTTTCCTTAAAAGCTTTTGCCAGTAAAAGGTCCCCTTTTGGTAAAATTTTATCTAGGCACACGACGATTTCATGGTGAAAGGTCCACTTTTTCAGAAAAAGCCATGAAATTGCTGGATACGGCCCTGAAAGGACTATATGCTTTACAGCCTTGATCGATCTAACAATGTCAAATATTTACCTTACTTCTTAAAGTGCGGTCTGGCTATTCTATATACCACTTGGATTCAGTTATACAACACTGTGTGTTTGACTTAAGGCACGGTATGGGTATTGCGACACTATATAAGACTCACACATAGCTGTCGCTGTATTGCCTTGCTGTCACTGCAGTCGATTTTAGAGGTGAATTTCGGCTACATCAAGGATCGGTGAAGGATAAGTAACCTTATTTTCCATCATGTCATCAAGTAAGTTTTACCTTAGGGCTGCAATAAACTAAGAGAGAATTGAATCTCTGTGTATAAACGATTCTACAATGTAATTATACTCAACGTGGAATCTGATTTCATTGATGACTATCCCGGACAAATTGATATTCGACGACTTGTTTTTTACAAAATGGATACGAGTACTCGAGTTTTGTTGAGCATATCATAATGATAATCAACTAAAACAAGTTCTAAAGCAAAAGCCAAGGTATATTTCCTAACAATATGCATCGTACGGATTGTAAACAACGCGGTGACTAACGGTCGTACTACAGAGTATATCTTGCTAAATCGGTGTCATATGTTTTAATTTCTTTCAGAGAAAGATATGCCTCAACAGCCTCAAGGACCCCCTCCTCCATACCCCTACATGGTAAGATATGGGAAAAAAATAGACACGGGAAAACGATATTGACGGCCTAGCTATATCTCAAAAACTAATTGACTGGTCGTGTTTGGTATCAGATTTTTGCAGTCACACCCTCCCTATTACTGAATTTGAATATACTGTTAATATACGCAGGCATCGAGGGGTGCATGTGCATTTTTCATTTACAAGTCGGTGACCGCACACCACATGGGCGTAACTAGGCATACGCACGGGTGCACTGTGCGTACAATTTTTTGGCCAACCATGATATTATTTTATATAAATTTAGTGTATTTTTCACGGAATATAAAAGAAAATCCCCTGCTATTAAAGTCACCTGTATGTACAAATCCTCTGTATCAATTGTATAGGCACAATTGTTCTGATTCACCCCCGGTCTTAATCGTCCATCTAACTGAAACTTCCTTTGCCTCTTAATTGAAGGGTTCAGTGGCCCTCAACGCTTCTGTACCCGCGTTCTTGAGAAGATCGAACGCATTCTCCCNTTAATTGAAGGGTTCAGTGGCCCTCAACTCTTCTGTACCCTCTTTCTTGAGAATATCGAACGCATTCTCCCTGGCGATATTTATCTCAGGTAAAAATGTGCCGAAGTGTTATTTTCAAAGAGCAGCTCCCGCAACCCTGGGGGCACTAGATAAAATCTGAACACCAGGTTTAAGGAGCTAGAGAAACAAAGGAAGAAATTTTCCTGCAAAGCTTCAAAGAATTTTGACACGGACTTGACCCAGCTTAGTTCAACTCAGAGGTGGATCCAGGATTATTCGAAGGGGGTTCCACATATGCGAAGCTAGCCTCCTTTTAAATAAATATACCGTTCTGGGTAATAAGAATATTGAAACTTTTTTAATTGCGAGAATATTTCTGACTAAATGATGATTTTATTATTAATGGAAATTAAGCTGCGATGTGTGGTACATATGCTGTAATTACGCTGTCCGTCATCTCTTGCGTTAGTCTACATTTTGCTGGGAATTTTAAAAATCTGTGCGTACAATTTTTAAAGGTCTGGTTACGCCCCTGCACCATACGGCTGCATGCATGATAAGATCAGTGATATTGTCGGCGGGGCTTGCAAAGTCTTCACTGGAATTACCTATAGGTCTGATCTTGAACCGTTTTGATATATCTCGTCTATTGCAGCAGCCTTTTGGCGTAGTTTTCAGGATTTGAGCATGAGTAACTATATATGAATTGGCATCGTGAGATAAGTAATTGACATGGCAATGTTTTATCTCTATAAGCATCTGAAACATCAGCCCAGTCATTTGTTTCAAAATACTCTCGCATTTTTGGAACCCAATTTTTTCAGAGTAAACATGATATCGATGGTTTCAATTCGTTTCATTAGCCTCAGCAGCCAAATCAGTATGGTCACCCACAGACCCTACCGGTCTACATGGGACAATATGACGCTGGGGCAAGATTTGGAGCCGGAGCTACGACCAATATACCAGTATGTATCCTCTCCACCTCTCTCCCTCTCTCTCTCTCTCATTTTTATCTAAATTTCATATCTTTTCTATTTAAAATCCATTAAAACCCCGGTATAAGAATCACCAAGAATATAATAGCATACACTTGTAGTTATGCCATTATAAAATATGACACAATTAGATTAAAAAGAAATAAATTACCAGTCCTTAATGGACACAATAGACATATTCGCATAAAGTACGTATAGGCTTCTTGATGTTTACAATACTTTCACTTTCATTTTAGCCCCCTCCTCCAGGTTGTGCTCCGAACGCAGCGCAAATGGCAGCCGCTCAGGGGTATAATGTCACTGTGACCAAGAAAAAGGGCCGCTCGGATGGAGGATTCACGATCTCAGATTAAACAAAGGCTTGAGAAAGAATGTGTTAAGTCCAATTTGAAAGACGTCTCCACTCTGAGCTTCTCACTTCTTCATTTCCTAATACGATATCCGACTAACTGGCGTTGATTACAGAAGTTAATTTCGTAGTGGACTTGAATACTCCGGGTCTGTCCAATGCTAGTCAGCTAAAATGATACAGGATGCGGAAACAGACATTTGAATGGTAAAACGCCGCTTCTGGCTATCGTAGGACTATTGACGGCACATTCTTAAAATAAAGAGTGACAAAAAGAAAGGAACTAGCAACAGCCGCCATATAAATATATGCTAATATGCTCCTTGGCTTGAGTGGGTCATTGACGTCGGTAAAATTGGTCATGAACTAGAATAGAAAGAATTATAATATACGGACGTATTGGAATAGACGTGAATAGAATTGAATACGGAAACAACTACAGATAGAACCTATACATGCAACTGCAAAATCAGTGATTAATCGAACTCTCTGTTCATTTGTTATATATAGTTTACAAGCATACCACTCCGAATATGCCATGCGCCTGTATAGTAATAATAGTAAGCCTAACTACAAACGCTGACATCATGTCTGATGACATTCCAGATAGACCCTATATTCGTTAACATCCTTTGGTATCAAAAATATAAAATATAAGTAATACTTAAAGTCCTCTCAACAGTTACTAATTTTATCTGTGTTAATTGTTTTATAAGAATCACCTACTATATATCATCCATTTTTTTCACTCGGAGTAACAAGTTGTTGCGAACGATTTTTTTTTCATCGGAGTATTTGTGATAAATATGTGGGTTTTGTAGAGGTATTGTAATGTTATGTGTACACGTGGAATAAAATAGAAAGATGCATAATCTAGTTACATACGTTGTCATATTTTTTCAATTTTCTTAAACGGGCTTGAAGAGTTTGACAAGTTCAGGAATTGATCAATTAAGGCGCTATTTTCCTTCCACTTTCTTTTTTCTTTTTTTTTCTTTTTACACATTCTTGTAGGTAGGCCTAGTGACACATTAGGCTTGATCGGAAGTAAGAAACAGGATAATTTAAACTAAATCAATAATGACTGATTGGTGAATCTGTCAATAGGATATTTTGAATCAGTGTTTTTATTTGCTGTCATATTGGTTCCCCATTTACCATATTAATTTCGTTGTCGAACTTTTCTTGAATGTGTAGCTTACAAATGCGACAGGTGCCTTCTCAGTTGTCTCATCTAACACAATGTACTTTGGTCCAATGACAGAGTGGAAACTGCTTGAGTGCGGCCCTTTTACCAAAATGGCCGGCAGCCTCGTGTGTCGGGTTCATCCCGTTGTTTTATTCAGTATTGTTGACTCGTATGAGAGGAGAAATGAAGATGCAAGGAGAGTGATTGGCACATTATTAGGTAACGTATCTTTTAGCTGAAAGTCATGTAGATTAACATGATGTGAGTAGAGGTATTTTAGTTGGAAAATACTGGCATATGGGAACTTTTTCTTTTTTAGTAATTTGCTTTGCTTCAACTGTTTGTTGTTTGATTAACAAACAACACATTTGTCAGCGAACCAAAGTGGGTTTGTTTCATATATCAACGGCTCTTGTTACGTTACATATACGTTTGCCTGAATATATTAAACTTAAAAGTTTTGCCCATGTTGCATGCATATGATGCAGATGTATTCGAGTGATCAGTCCGTGTGGTACTTTTTAAGACCAATACAAAGCGTCAACCCCCCTTCCCACTACTTCCAACTTCATGCGAACATTTAATTGATTTTTTCAGGAACTTTGGACAAAGGTGCTGTGGAAGTAACAAATTGTTTTACAGTGCCACATAACGAATCAGAAGATGAGGTGAGTTCTAAACTTTTTCTTTTACACAGTCGCCAGCTCAGAAGTAGTCAACTTAAGGCAATAGAGGACCACAGACAGGCTATTCTTGGGCTGTCTTGTAAACATAACTTTCATTACATCAACAACAGAATGCAACAGTGATATCAAGGTTTTGTTCTACAGATAAAACTGATCTTCGGGGAAATATCTGTGCAGTTATTCTCAGTGTGACTACACTACACTCCTCCCCCCCAAATAAAGTGAACCCGAGTGGCTAAACTCACTTATTCTTGTGATAACTACAGTCTAACTAGTAGTGATACACAAAGGAGGCTGACACACCCTGATCAGGGGCATGAACAACTTACCATTAAATTTCCACTGTCTGGACTCCTATGCAAACTTCAAAAAGCTCCTAGTCTGTCACTACAATCTGTACCAATTGGATTTACCCAGTAGGAAGAACGTAGGAATATTGGCGTAGTGAAGAATATACACAAAGGGGATGTTGAATCTACGGAGTTGTCTCTATAGCGAGGTCGCTCAGTGGAATGGCTGAGTAAAGACTGCTCTCAAATTTTCCGCTGTCTGTTTCATACTGCTAGGTGGCGCAACATCATATTAATAGGTGGCGCTATATCCAATACAATCCACAACCTTAATCACAACAAAACTTTCAAAACTAGAAAAATTAGAATATCGTTGTGATTTCATAAGTTTGTGACATAATCTTAAAGATCAAAGACACTATTAATTTTTACAACATGAATTTCAGTGATTGCAGTTTTTAAAAATGCTTGTTATTATGTTTACTTGTACCCTTGAAGTAGAAGGTTCGAATTAATGTGTTTGTGTATGTGTGTTTTTCAGGTTGCAGTTGATATTGAATTTGCAAGGAATATGTACGAGTTACATAAGAAAGTTAATCCAGGGGAAGTTATAGTTGGATGGTGAGTGAATTTTTTTATAATCACAGCAGCACTCAGATGGTCACAAATATATTTTAAAGTTGTAAGTCTTTTTTTTTCAAATGCAGAACTAATTTTATCATCAACTCTCAAGTTTACAAAGGTAGACATGAATTAATGCTGAAAGAAAGATAATGTTTATCTTTGTTAGTTGGTCTGTCAAAGCTAAAGTAAGGGTGAAAATGCAGAAGCATTAGCTTTTGGATCTGCAACTTTTATTGGTCTGAACACTTCTTCCAATACCAATAAACACTGCTTCACTTTTTACATCATTTAACTCACTTTTATCAATTTCAACAAGCAACGAAAAACGTTCATTATGGGAAGAGTTCTCTTGTATTTCAGGTACTCGACTGGTTCTGAAGTTACGGAACACTCCGTATTGATACATGAATACTATGCCAGAGAGGCTAAGAACCCTATCCATCTCACAGTGGATACAACACTCAGGGGAAACAAGATGGGGATCAAGGCTTTCTTGAGGTGATTAATTATTAAAAAGATAAATATTTCAAAAGATGCAACAAGGTTTTACATTTACCATGAGGCCTGTGACAGAAATGTTCTGTTTTAATTGTCTTAAAGATATTGATAAAGTATTGAAATGAAATGAAATTGAACGAAAAAAATCATGATGAAAACTTTTAATTTAAGAATATTGCTACAGCAATTAAATTTCTAGCATCTTATGGTCTGTCTGATGCAAAGCATGCCCCATTCCATTTATGTGAGAGATTGAAAAATTGCTCTTATAATCAATTATAATGTTATTGTGTTTTTTTTCAGTTCTTCTATGGGTGTCCCTGGGAAGACAATGGGTACAGTGTTCACACCAATCCCAGTGGATATAGCATTCTATGAGCCAGAAAGGGTAGGAGGTAGGGACAAATAAGGCTGTACTAGCAATTAATTATTTACTATAAAAAGAGAAGTTTATATATTTGTTATTTATTATTTCTTTTAACTTGGGGTAAAAAATAAATGTATGAAAAGTAATAAAGAAATGAGATGCAAGTAGATATTTGAGTGAGGTATAATTTTGAAGTTGAAATTGAGAATTTTCTTGGATTTCACTATGAGTGAAGAGTTTTTTCCAAAATTTTTTTATTAGTAATTTTTAGAGCCTCACTTAAAGAGAAGTATAAAATCCCCCAATGCATTTATAGATCCTATCTGTCCTCCATTTAAAAAAAATTAACTTTCATTGTGAATTCCAGTTGAGTTTGTCCAGCAAGGTAAAAATAACCCTAAGAGAACTGTTTCCATGACAACAGATCTGAACCAGGTGACAAATGCATGCAACTCCATGCAGGAAATGTTATCTGTCACCATAAAATATGTGGATGATGTCTTGGTAAGTGACAGAGGTTAAAATTCATGTGATATGACAAACTTGAACATGCCTTCTTATCTCTGATATAGAATACAATCTCACATTTCAGGCTCTTTTAGAAAAACATTTTCACTGACAATTGTCTCTTTTTGTTGTCACATGCAGAGATGGCAAAAATTACTTTTTTTTTCATTGTTATTTGGTTTTCAACCAAGTAATGATCTCTTTCCCATATATTAAGGGCTTTAAATTCATGAAGCTTATTGCCGTGCTTTGTTTGATAAAAACATGATTTTATCACTATTTTCCTCACCTTCAGGCAGGTAAAATTCCAGCAGATGCCACAGTCGGCAGATTCCTAATGGATTTGGTGAACACAGTACCCAAGATTGATGCAGAGCAGTTTGAGGAAATGCTGAATTCCAACATGAAGGTAATTTGCCGTATTTATTGCGACACGCATGTCCCATGCCTGTGCTATAAAGATGATTTAATTTTTGTGTCAAGTTTAGACTGTGAAAATAAGATAAAGGATTGAGATAGCCATCACTGTTGTTACTAGTTGCCTGTGCCGTATGCCCCATGGGTTCATTCTTAAAGGTCGGCATTTTAAATTTGATCAGAACCTTGTTTTCTCAGGCATATTTAAACTATTTACCATGATGCCAATCTTTCAGTTGAATTGCGAAATGAGAAGACCATACTAAAATATATTTTCAGTTACATGCGACTTGTTGAAATTTAATTCCTGAAGTCAAATTAGATAAAATGGTTCTGTAGATATAAAACAATCATCCTGATATGCATTATCTGTAACTACGTATGTGATTTCAGGATCTACTGATGGTGGTTTACCTGTCCAACCTGACCCGCACTCAGCTACAACTGAATGAAAAAATGAGCCTGTTATGAGATGCCCTGTTACAGTCTTATTATTCCAACCGTCATTTGACTCTTATGAAGAAGTGCTCAGCACAACAAATAGCCACACCATTGGGCCAAAAAAGCTCAACTTGTGTGCATAGGCTTCTGTCAGGAAACTGGCTTGGTATAAATACATTTCACATGTCAAACCTTATAAACTGGTAAATACCTGTGTGATTTTATGGCTACTAGATGGGGCCAGCTGTTGGACAGAACTGATATTGGGACCTTAAAGATTCAGTTACTACAAGAATGATGGCCGATGGATATCTAATGTCAGGATTTGGAAATGAGCTAATAGCTGGAGAATAATAGCAGAATTGAGACTTCGCCTAAAGCCATTCACTTTGTGATTGGGTTCTGGTGTTGACATCATTGTCTATAATAGTAACAAACTTAGAAGTACTGCAAAATAACATGCAATGGTCATTTCGTACTCCTGTTTAGGATGATACTTGCTGATATTGTGGAGATTAACTAGAAACAACAGCAGAAACATTGACATACTTAGTATGGGTTGTAATGCTGCCAAGATAAAAGTTGTTCCATCTCATAACTTCAGTTTCATTTTTACTTTTGTGGCATTTAGAATTATTCTTATTCAGTCGAGAATGTATTTATATTTAAATATGATAAACAAATAAAAAGATGATACAATTTTTTTTTATTTCTTTTATTATTTCTTGTATGTTTATATATGTTTACAAATAAAGTAATAATAATAGTTTTAACAAAGATAATAACAAACAAAAAGAAAGAAGACTGAAATGAAACAAAAATATTGGCAAGAAGAGGATTCTAGTGTGAGATGAGAAAAAAATCGGTCTGCTGAAAAACAGCCTGTCACAGAGTTTGAATGTCATGTTTTCAAATATTTGCACCAAAGTGGTTCACTTAAAGGTACAATAACACAAAATGTAGCGACCACAAGCTGTTATCTACTACTGCACTTACAGGACTGTACATTGCTGTGTGAATATTCTACATACAGATCTACAACCATTGCAATCAATTTTAAAAAAATTGCTCAATTAACATATCAGTAAAGGTCCATCAAGTATTGAAGATACCTTTCACGTGTTTGTAACCATTGTGTGTGATACAGGACCTCTGTACTGGTCTCTGGATGACCAATAACAAAACTGACCCAGAACATCTTCCTTGGATGACTAACATACAATAACAAATAGTGTGTAGTAGAATTGCTCTAATGCAATAAAAACTAAAGATAAAATGATTTTAATGCACTAAAGATGGAAAGTGATTGTATTCAGGAATTAAACTTTTTGAATGAGATATATTTAAGTGACCACTACAAAATATGGCAGATGAGTGTAACACTGCTACTGATTTGAAACCCAGGAAAGGAATGACAAAAATGTTGCAATTACTTCAACAATAAAAATCAACTGGTTTTTTTAATAAGGTGAAGTGTTGTGAAAATGTGCTATCAGTAATTGTAAGTTATAAGAAACAGATAATTATAAGATCCTGACCTTAATAATTATGTACTAAAATGGGTTTACACCAACTAGTAAATATCACGTTTTACTTTCATACTGCTATTGATAAGCAACACATCTGTAAAGTAAATGTTACACAGCATTTATTGGGGTGTGCACTGATAATAGGCAAGATCCTACTCCTCATTAATCCAAGGGGGAAAAAGACATCGATTTCAGATGTGTATATCTTGAACCTGGCAGAAATGCTATGGTCTTTTAATTAATAGGATTTTAGGGACATACAGCCCTCTTAAATATACCTTTCAAAGTTGCATTGATAAGTTGCTTAAATATGAAGCCAATAAATATATACTCTACACCAACTTGGTGACCTACAAAATTCTCATTCAGTTTTCAAACAAGTTTTCAGTGACAACTGAAACTGCAAATTATCACTAACAAACCGAATCAAGCATGGGTTGGCCAATACACCTTTCCAAATAAATTAGGTTTAAAACTGCTCCCTTACCTACCATAGGCCATGACTAATTCTCTATCTGTGCACCTTTACACATGCACTCATTTTCCCTAGCAAAATCTTTTAATCGCCCATGAATTACTATATGTAAAATATTTAAGCTCCAGCAGAAAAAATTCAGAAAAAAGAAACATGTAACCTTCACACACTAAATGTAAATTTTAGCACCTTACATTTCACAAATCAAACTATAACGAAAGAACAAACCCCTCTTCTTCACTTTTCACCAAATTAATTAAAGTCCTTTTACAATAAATATGTCCNAATCACAGCAGCACTCAGATGGTCACAAATATATTTTAAAGTTGTAAGTCTTTTTTTTTTCAAATGCAGAACTAATTTTATCATCAACTCTCAAGTTTACAAAGGTAGACATGAATTAATGCTGAAAGAAAGATAATGTTTAACTTCGTTAGTTGGTCTGTCAAAGCTCAAAGCTAAAGTAAGGGTGAAAATGCAGAAGCATTAGCTTTTGGATCTTCAATCTTTTATTGGTCTGAACACTTCTTCCAATATCAATAAACACTGCTTCACTATTTACATCATTCAAGTCACTTTTATCAATTTCAACAAGCAATGAAAAACATTCATTATGGGAAGAGTTCTCTTATATTCCAGGTACTCGACTGGTTCTGAAGTTACGGAACACTCCGTATTGATACATGAATACTATGCCAGAGAGGCTAAGAACCCTATCCATCTCACAGTGGATACAACACTCAGGGGAAACAAGATGGGGATCAAGGCTTTCTTGAGGTGATTAATTATTAAAAAGATAAAAGATTTCAAAAGATGCAACAAGGTTTTACATTTACCATGGAAAGGCCTTTGACAGAAATGTTCTGTTTTAATTGTCTTAAAGATATTGATAAAGTATTGAAATGAAATTGAAATGGTGAATGTGATCGTTTTTGCACAAAAAAAAAAAAAAAAAAAAAAAAAAAAAATCATGATGAAAACTTTTAATTTAAGAATATTGCTACAACAATTATATTTCTAGCATCATGTGGTCTATCTCATGCAAAGCATGCCCCGTTCCGTTTATGTGAGAGATTGAAAAATTGCTCTTATAATCAATTATAATGTTTTTTTTTGTGTTTTTTCAGTTCTTCTATGGGTGTCCCTGGGAAGACAATGGGAACAGTGTTCACACCAATCCCAGTGGATATAGCATTCTATGAGCCAGAGAGGGTAGGAGGTAGGGAAAAACAGGGCTGTACTAGCAGTTAATTATTTACTATAAAAAGAGAAGTTTATATATTTGTTATTTATTATTTCTTTTAACTTGGGGTAAAAAATAAATGTATGAAAAGTAATAAAGAAATGAGATGCAAGTAGATATTTGAGTGAGGTATAATTTTGAAGTTGAAATTGAGAATTTTCTTGGATTTCACTATGAGTGAAGAGTTTTTTTCCAAAATTTTTTTATTAGTAATTTTTAGAGCCTCACTTAAAGAGAAGTATAAAATCCCCCAATGCATTTATAGATCTTATCTGTTCTCCATTTAAAAAAATTATTTTTCATTGTGAATTCCAGTTGAGTTTGTCCAGCAAGGTAAAAATAACCCTAAGAGAACTGTTTCCATGACAACAGATCTGAACCAGGTGACAAATGCATGCAACTCCATGCAAGAAATGTTATCTGTCACCATAAAATATGTGGATGATGTCTTGGTAAGTGACACAGAGGTTAAAATTCACGTGATATGACAAACTTGAACATGCCTTCTTATCTCTGATATAGAATACAATCTCACATTTCAGGCTCTTTTAGAAAAACATTTTCACTGACTGTTGTGTCTCTTTTTGTTGTCACATGCAGAGATGGCAAAAATTACTTTTTTTTTTCATTGTTGTATTGGTTTTCAGCCAAGTAATGATCTCTTTCCCATATATTGAGGGCTTTAAATTCATGAAGCTTATTGCTGTGCCTTGTTTGATAAAACATGATTTTATCACTATTTTCCTCACCTTCAGGCAGGTAAAATTCCAGCAGATGCCACAGTCGGCAGATTCCTAATGGATTTGGTGAACACAGTACCAAAGATTGATGCAGAGCAGTTTGAGGAAATGCTGAATTCCAACATGAAGGTAATTTGCCGTATTTATTGCGACACGCATGTCCCATGCCTGTGCTATAAAGATGATTTAATTTTTAGGTCAAGTTTAGACTGTGAAAATAAGATAAAGGATTGAGATAGCCATCACTGTTGTTACTAGTTGCCTGTGCCGTATGCCCCATGGGTTCATTCTTAAAGGTCGGCATTTTAAATTTGATCAGAACCTTGATTTCTCAGGCATATTTAAACTATTTACCATGGTACCAATCTTTCAGTTGAATTGCGAAATGAGAAGACCATACTAAAATATATTTTCAGTTTAATGCGACTTATTGAAATTTAATTCCTGAAATCAAATTAGATAAAATGGTTCTGTAGATATAAAACAATTATCCTGATATGCATTATCTGTAATTACGTATGTGATTTCAGGATCTACTGATGGTGGTTTACCTGTCCAACCTGACCCGCACTCAGCTACAACTGAATGAAAAGATGAGTTTGTTATGAGACACCATCTTGCAGTCATATTATTCCACTCTTCATTTTACTCTTATGAATGAGATAAGTGCTGAGCAGACCATTGGGCCAGAAAAGCCCAACTTGTGTGCATAGCCTTCTGTCAAGAAACTGGCTTGGTATTTAATACATGATGTGGCTACTAGATGGCGCCAGCTGTAGGACAGAACTGATATTGGGACCTTAAAGATTCAGCTACTACGAGGATGATGGCCGATAAATATTTTATGTCTGGATTTGGGAATGAGCTTATCATGTGCTTCATCGAAATGAATAGCCAAATTTTGTGCACGAGTTCTGGTGTTGACATTATCTATTGTAAAAAACCAATAAGCATTGCAAAATAACATGCAATGGCCCTTTCATACTCCCGCTTAGGATGCTACTTGTGGATACTTTTAGAGATTAGAAACAACAGCAAAAACATTGATATATTTGGTATGGGTTGTAATGCTGCCAAGAGAAAAGATGTTCTGTGGTAAAGAATTTGTAAAGTCTCATGACTTCAGTTTCATTTTTTTCTTTTGTGACATTTAGAATTCTTATCCAGTCAAGAATGTATTTATATTAAAAATGATAATGAAATAAAAAGCCAATATAATTTTTTTCTTTTATTATTTCTTGTAGGGTTATATATGTTTACAATTAAAGTAATAATAATAGTTTTAACAAAGATCATAACAAACAAAAAGAAAGAAGACTGAAATGAAATAAAAATATTGGCAAGAAGAGGATTCTAGTGTGAGATGAGAAAAAAATCGGTCTGCTGAAAAACAGCCTGTCACAGAGTTTGGATGTCATGTTTTCAAATATTTCCACAAAAAGTGGTTCACTTTGAAGGTACGATAACACAACAGGTAGCGTCCACAAGCTGTATCTACTACTGCACTTACAGGACTGTACACTGCTGTGTGAACATTTTACCTATAGATCTACAACCATTGCAATCAATTTTTTAAAATTTGCTCAATTAACATACCAGTTAAGGTCCATCAAGTATTGAAGATACCCATCATGCGTTTGTAACCATTATGTGTGAATACAGGACCTCTGTACTGGTCTCTGGATGACCAATAACAAAACTGACCCAGAACATCTTCCTTGGATGACTAACATATACAATAACAAATAGTGTGTAGTAGAATTGCTCTAATGCAATAAAAACTAAAGATAAAATGATTTTAATGCACTAAAGATGGAAAGTGATTGTATTCAGGAATTAAACTTTTTGAATGAGATATATTAAAGTGACCACTACAAAATACAGCAGACGAGTGTAACACTGCTATTGATTTGAAACCCAGGAAAGGAATGACAGAAATGTTGTCATTACTTCTACAATAAAAACCTTTTTTTTTTTTTACATGGTGAAGTGTTGTGAAAATGAGCTAGCAGTAATTGTAAGTTATAAGAAACGGATAATTATAAGAACCTGACCTTAATAATTATGTACTAAAATGGGTTTACACCAACTAGTAAATATCACGTTTCACTTTCATACTGCTATTGATAAACAACACATCTGTAAAGTAAATAAGTGTTACACTGCATTTATTGGGGCGTGCACTGATAGTAGGCAAGATCCTACTCCTCATTAATCCAAGGGGGAAAAAGACATCGATTTCAGATGTGTATATCTTGAACCTGGCAGAAATGCTATGGTCTTTTAATTAATAGGATTTTAGGGACATACAGCCCTCTTTAATATACCTTTCAAAGTTGCATTGATAAGTTGCTTAAATATGAAGCCAATAAATATATACTCTACACCAACTTGGTGACCTACAAAATTCTCATTCAGTTTTCAAACAAGTTTTCAGTGACAACTGAAACTGCAAATTATCACTAACAAACTGAATCAAGCATGGGTTGGCCAATACACGTTTCCAAATAAATTAGGTTTAAAACTGCTCCCTTACCTACCATAGGCCATGACTAATTCTCTATCTGTGCACCTTTACACATGCACTCATTTTCCCTAGCAAAATCTTTTACTCGCCCATGAGTTACTATATGTAAAATTTCCAAGCTCCAGCAGAAAAAATTCAGAAAAAAGAAACATGTAACCTTCACACACTAAATGTAAATTTTAGCACCTTACATTTCACAAATCAAACTATAACGAAAGAACAAAACCCTCTTCTTCACTTTTCACCAAATTAATTAAAGTCCTTTTACAATAAATATGTCTAATTAAAAATCAACATTAAATCCTTTCACAATACCACTTCAAACCTTTCCAGACAATAAGTCCTAATTATTTTCACAGTGCTTCTTTATCTTCACTTCTCAGTTGTTTGTCATGGCAATCCTCTAAGCTTATCACTTCTTGTTCAGGAAAATATTTCATCAAACTTCAACTAAATATTACTTCCATTTATAAACTCCTTTCCTCCCTGCATCTTTTTTTTTTTTAGTTTTGTATATATATCACACTGAATTGATTATCAATCAAATTATGATCCACGAAGTTACGACATATCTTCTGGTATGTTACTTGCACTTATTTTGAAGGCTGGGGGTGGGGTGAACCAGGGGTCAATCACCTGTCATTTACGTACAAAAACCATCCCTTTTACAATAAAATCTGCCCATTCATGTTCATTGCCAGCAAGGTACAAGTGGGACCTCCTGTGCATACTCCGACACAATCTCTTTAAGGTGATGCATGTCCTTAAAACAGCATTTAGATAATTCTTTTCACTCTTACCTGTACATAATTAGATTAAATAGTGTATGTACCTTATTTTAAAATTTGTGCCACAATGTGCTATTGTGTTTATGATACTTTTCAATTATACTGTTCTATATTAACTTATATATAATAGTCTATAAAGAGATAACTTATTTCTAAAATGGCTCCCAAACTGTACTCTGTATGACTACGGGACTTTCTTTTTATCTGCACTCCAAAAATTAATACACAAGTTCCTCTTAATACTCCACCTTTTGATTTCATTTGAACTGCCATCTTAATTAACACAGTAGTCATTGGGATAAGATCCACTCTTCCAATATGTAATGGTATTTTTTCATTTTTTTCAAAATATCTGTCATTTTGATAAAATCAGCTGCATGAGATGATACCAATTGTGGGTAAACCAGAATGTTGTCAGCTGTTTCATTGGTTTCATGAAATGGCTTGAAATGATAACCTAAGTTGCACTTTACGTAGAACCATAAAGGTTGCTTTCCTCCATTTTTTTCAGTCTTCCAACCAAAATCCTAGAGCAAATTATGATTGTCGTAATAGTAATTCTACCATTGCCCATTTAAATATGTCAGCCACTAGTTTTGTAGTTCACAAGATATATTGTGACTTTTTTAATTGTGAGTAATGTCTCTAGGGCTTTTCCAGTCATCCAAGCTGAAAGTACGTATTTCATCTGGGCTGATACCCTTGGAACTTCTATTCGATAATCAAATCACTTGCTCTACACTTCTTGTCGCAAAAGTGACTTTCAAGTAAGTTCCTGACCAGTCACATCCTAGATAATCAGACTTTTCTGAACAAGCCCCTTTTACCAGCTGTTTCTGAAATTCAATATGAATGCCACATACACAAAAAATAATACCCCATATATGGTGCAATCTGTAGCAAATGATCACCACTGCAGATCCTCAGATTTCCTGGGGATGGCACCCAAAAAGCCAAGGGGTACCATGAAACCTGCATCATCTTCACATCATCATCATCATCTTGGATGCAGATACAGGCATTCTTTCCGCTGCAATGACCAACTTCTGACACAAGTTCTTATTATCTTTTCAATATTGTGCTCTTTGTGTAAATGCTCCATATTAATATTTCACATACATGGTGCCAGAGCTTAATGTGGCCAATACAGTACCTTGAATATATTTTTTATATTTCTAAATAGAATTTTGTGGGTGAGGACTCTGACACTAAAGGCTTGTCATGTCAGCGTTGGGCTTTCACTTTCCACATAAGTACCAAGTAGCACAGCACCCTCAAAATCACAAAGAAAACACAAAGCACAACAAAATCAATCCAAAACTTGGCATCCTCGACGTCCATCTCTTTCAGAATGTCTGCTGGTTTGTCCAGAAAACACATCTCTTTATCACAGTCTAGTTTCTCTCTGTCAAACCCATACACTGCATGCAGGACACCTTCAAAGGAGTAACTGGAATGCAAGGGGAAACCATTAAAAACTCAGTTTTATTTCTTGTTTTATTTCTTGAGCAAAGGAATGATTGAGACTGGCAATGAATAAAGCAGAGAAGAAAGGTAGAAAGACTTGTTTAAAGGTGGGTCTTCTTAGACAAAAACTAGTTTCTTCCAAAATTTGAAAACTGTTGCAACAGACAGTTGTGATAATAATGGCTGGTATACAGTACATCTCAACAGGACTGTTCATCAAGTACACATTACACAACCAGTATTCTGATGTTAAAAGAACACCTATGCCATTTTTATGACTTCTACTACTAACTTATGTAAATATATATCTAGTAAGTCATCTTTACCAATGCCACTAATGAGACTTACCGTATATAGGAGGAATAAGACAGCCACTGTAAATATTTTGGTATTGTGTCAAAGTTGACAAAAAATCCGCTAAACAGTAGTATAGGGATTGCTGTGATTGGTCCTAGAAAAACTGCAACCTATGAATGAAATTTAAGATATCATCATCTGCTTTTGCATAAAACACCGAGGTGCTACAGCCGGATCCTAAACTGTAATGAGTTGCTCTCCCCCATAGCTTCATTTTTTCTTGGAAAAAAAAAAAAGAGGAAGAGCTTACAGAATCATATAACTTTTACAAGAATGTGTGACTATTTTCAATGAAAGGTTTTTATCCCATGTAATACCCTCTCTGTACCACCTTCCCACCTGCTCCAACAAAATTTTAAAATGCCATTGTTGATACAAATGTAAAGACCTGATACACATGTAGTACCTGTAAAGACGTGGCTGCCCCAATCAACAGTCCTGTAGATTGCGCCACCAATGCCGTCTGTGTAGATAACGTCAAGAACATCACAAAACGCACAAAGTCATTGGGCTGGTTGGTCATCCAGTATACTATACTGCCATAGACCAGGGGGAATATGATCTGAAAGACAAGAAATCTTACAGTCAGAGTGTTGTATTTTCTACACATGCAATGCACTACACTGCTACTGACCATAATCTGGAATACAAATATGGTGATAAATGTCCTTTCAAAATAAAATTGCTGTTTTATATTGTGTCATGTCAACTATACACAGCATTTTTTCTATTTTTTTAATGTGTATTCCATAATTTTTATCCCTCTCACCTGAAAAGGCATATCAGCCATAGTTTTAGCCCAGTAGTAAGCTTTCAGACTGTACCAGTAGTTGAGATGTTCTCTTACAAATACAGCCATCTCCATAGGGACTGAAACAAATCATAAATATCATGAGCTTCAATGTTTCATGGATTTCACATAGGACTACTGAACTTTTCATACCAATTCTACAAACAATCTTTGGCATGATTTCTGATCTACATAATTTTTCCATAAATATAAACATTATGTGAAACTTTTATTAAAATAATTTGTCTGGTTTACAGTCTCTGAGACAATTATAGTATCAAATGTCTGCTAGCTTGATCTGGGACAAATCTCCAAACACCCCCTGCTGAGTAGGTGTAGACCAAGGGCTGGTCTTGTCAGTAAAGAAAATCTGGGAAAATTCCACCTGAGGTGCCCCATGTTCTAACTCTGGTGCACCAAGCACATTGTGTATACTTACATGTTAAAACTGTTGGCATCAGAGCTGTGAACATCAAGAACAGCATACAAAAGAACAGGCAGCCAGCGTTGTTGAACACTTTACTGGCCTCATTGCCAATCCCTAGATACAGGAGACCAATCAGAATGCCAACGGTGAGATGGGACAGAAGGCGTAGACGGGTTAGGGTCTGAAACACAGAAAATATAGTGTTATAACAATGGCATGTTTATGGTAGTTTTTAAATTGCTTCTTACTTTAATAAATCATAACAGGAAATAAATAAATAAATAAATAAATAAATAAATAAATAAATAAATACTTACTGTGTCTCTCATTATGGACATGAAAGTTCTGATGAAGAGAATGCGAAACTGGGTGAAGGAACTGGTGGCAAATGTGTGGCGTTCACCAGGGCCAAGTTCCTGTAATAATTAATGAACTCAAAATAACTTCCTGACTTCAGCTGCAAAGGTGCACATCAAGCATTAGTACCAGCTATATGTACACTCCACTGGTTGAAAAGCATGGCAATCAACAGAAAATCGCACCTTCAAACTAAAGAGCATAAAATAAGCCTTAAATGAGCAAAGTATTAACAGTAGCAAAAATCTGTAATATCCGTTCACACTCACTTCAAAGTAAAATATAATTTAATATCTCATCTTTCAGAAGAAACCAAACAAGGTAACATTAAGGGTTGGCAATATCTTGTGTGTATTTTTTAAATGACTTCTGACCATCAATTGTTCAACAAACACAAGTATCATGGTAGTATTTCTGTGCACCTTGAAAAAGTGTCAAGCTGTGGACATGCACAGTTTTAAGGCATTAGTTGACCCAGCTTATGTCACAGCATTAAGGTAATTAAGGTAATGTTAATCTCTTTTGCTAACCAGCATAGTCACATACCGCTGCCAATATTTCAGAACTCAAAAGTTGCAGACTTACTGAAATAAAATGACAGACTTATACACGACAACTTAGGGACTGATACTCAAAATTACACGGAAAATGGATAAAAGCATGAATTTGCAACCCTGATAGCAAAGATTCATAATGGCACTTAAATTCATACGGAGAAGATAATGTAAAAAGCTTAAATCAACAGTGTTTTTTAACAAGAAAAAGTTTTACTGGTTCTGCAAGCAGCTATTATGAACATTTTCTATGGAGTATGGATCTAATTTTCATGAATACTTTTCAATATTTAAGTACTATTCTTAAAGTTTTTTTTTTTTTTTTGCATAAGTATGAACAATTCACAAAGTTTTGACACTGCTATGACAATAAAATTACTGCACATTTTACCATGTTTTTTTTTTTAAAATAAATTCAAAACTTGATACAAATTCACTTATGCCTTTCATATTTTTTCCAACTTTATTTAGTAAACTGCTTGTTTCTCGCACCATATCAAACTATTGCCACCTAATAACCATGTGATTGTCAGTATAAATACCAGTCTATATTGTTAACCATCTTCACCAATAATTAGTTAATAGTGTGTAACTGTCAACCACCCTTAGACCAGGCTACAAAGCTATCCATCCTTTATAATAATTCATGTTTTACCACCTAATTAATGTTTAACTCTAAACCTGTTACAAACACACTTAAACTCACTAGCCTTTGATCTTTTTCAGTTCCATCGCAAATGCTTGTTTTTGTTTTAGGTTGACTCCAGCGGAGAAATTAACTTTGTATATAATATCCCAGCTGGCTATGTGATTTTAGCTTCTAAACAGAGAAAGCCAATCTAAGGGCACTTGTTTTCAATTACTTTTATAACAGCAGCTGTTGCTAAGACAATGGGGGGAGGATTAGATCAGTTTCTTATCGTATGAAATTGCAATCACATGATGGGCTGAGATGGCATGGTGCTAAGTTATGCTATCCCAACTGGACTAGAAATACATCTTCATTTCTAAAATTATTCCAGGCTATAAATTCTCAAACCAGTGCACAACCCTTACGAACCAAAGATCATTTGGGATCCTAGAATGAACTAAATAGGGCACACATTCAGAAGTCTTTAAGAAGTTAGTATATTAAATAAATGTTAGGTGCACTTAATGAATCAAGCGACAACTGCACGTATGGGGCACCTAAACTCACACATGTAAAATATATGCAAACAAATTGTCACACCCAGCACAATGGCACACTGTCAGCTGTCACAACTACCACAATGAAGTATTAGTTGGCAGCAAAGAAAATGCTCATCAAGAATATTTCTAAGGCATCTCATAAGGTATTTCAGGCACACAAATACCAAATAGTTTTTTATCACAATCATTCTCGAGTTTATTTCTAAGAAAAAAGTCTGTAAAAACAATGATTAATGTGAAATAAAAGTAGTTCTGAAAGACCCAATGCTGAACCTTTATGAGATGTCTTGAAAACCACCTATTATCAGGGGATTAATTACCTCATCAGAGCTACTGTCCTGAGAAGAAAAAAATAGCAGAAGAAAGATGTTAAATATCTTAAATGATGAGCAGAAAATTTAGCACCATAAATTTCACTTCTAATTGTCACTTGTACAACTCTTTTTCAAAACTTGGAATGAACATATGCAAGAAAAAATAGCGTTATGCTTGAAAATAATGCATATTTACACACTGCAAACATAAACTTCATTTACCATATAATTAACAAATTCATATGTATATATATGCACTCTGATACCTTACAAGTATATTAACCAGTGGTTATTGGATACAGGTAAAGAAAATACCACTGCTGCCAGGACAGTCAATGCCAATATGCACATGAAGCACTAAACAATATTTTCAACCAATTTCAGTTCCATAATTCACATGATGCACCTAATCTACCAATAATTCCACATTAAATGGCACACTCAAATTTAAAGATCTCAATCAAAACAAAAGATACAAAAGTGAATTCACTGGTACTGAGGGGAATATATGTATCTCATGCAAGCAAATCAATATGTGATGATTTCTATTGGGATTACACTTTCCGTTTTCAACTTTCAAGGCAAAAAATGTGCTGTGAAATGTCACAAAATCACATATGGTTCATACATAACCAAAACTATCATCAATTAGGGATAAATTGAAAATCATTGCCCATACAAAAATACATGCAGGCAAACATCTCACCTCCTGTTTCTGCCCGCAGCAGCCATTTCGGGGCAGGTAGGCATCCGGGCAGCCATTGCCATTGATGATGATAGCACCATTGTTGCCTGTCATGCCTGTGGTCTCCGTGCACTTCAAGTCATCTTCGTCCTCACCAACCGAGGCTATCTTGTCACTGATCTGTTTGATGGTGTGGTCATCGGTCATTTTAGTGAGGTCATCAGGATTCTGGAACCGTTCACATTCACCATTTTTTGTGGCCACAACGAGCCCAGGGACCCTGTCTCCATATTCTCCACAGGCAACCTCCATTACTGAAATGGTCAATATTTGGTTAACTGACACAAATAAATGTGTGAAAGCCTTCAGTAGTCATTTATTGTGTTAGGTGTGACAACTGGATGTGACATGTCAGATTGTGATTCTTCACTTTGGAAACATTGTACACTCCCATAAGATGACATGAAAGGAAGAAAGAATGAGAAAAAATTCATTCTTAGAAAGCTATGACATGAAAGTACGAAAGGAAGGGAGAAAACCTTTTCTGCAAATGTGCAAAAAAATTTATGACATGCCATTATCAAAATGCACTGTCTCTTACATACCGAAATCTGCTGGGTTGTGAAACTGTGGACACACCAGCGTCTGGGCTCTGAGATATGGCACCAGTCCTGGTACATTGCCACGGTATATACACTGCCCATCCGCCAGTAGATAGAGCTGTAAACATAGCACATAAAGGTCAGGATATGAACAATACATCACTCATGATAAAACGATGGTGTTTGATGATGTACACAGTTATGCTATACACTTTTATATTCAGATATTTGCATGGTGTTGGCTGTTACACAAAATAGTCTGTGTTGTTAAAAAACAAAGTCAACGGATCATCAAAATACACTGAATATACATACATGACAATCCAACATGTATAAGCGTCACAAAACATTTATCAGTCTGTGGTTTTCAGACATCAAATGTTGGATATATTATTCATATTCGTATATATTATAAGCAAACTGGGTCATGACAGTTGAATGACATTTCAACTGTGTCCACATTAACAAATAGGGTTCCCAGTATTTTATGGAAACAAAACCCCCAGACTTTTCCCTGATATTTTCCAGATGGAAGTTAGAAAATTCCAGGATAATAATTTTTTACCCGTTTCTTGCTTTAAAATATCACTTATTCTCAGGATCTATTTTCCATAGCTTTTGATAACAGAGGCGTACAAATGATAATTTTCGGGAAAATTACTCATTCATACTGTTCAAATTTGTTGAGTAATTAAATAATTACCCTTATCTCTGAGACTCAGGATGTTAATCATAAACTGTGGACTATTCTTACCTGGTCAAACATTTCAAATAGTTTAGCACTGGGCTGGTGGACAGTGCAGATAATGGTATGGCCAACTTGAGCCAGAAACTTCAGTAAGGAAATACACTGAAAGCAGGAGGCACTATCCAGGCCACTGAAATAGACATTTTGAAAAATTAAAGTTACATCATCAAAAGTTAAAACATTTTGTTTGAGGCAATAAATTACTTTATGATCATCATTAATTAAACATAACTTTTTATACTACCCAAAGCATTTAACTTATTTGGCTTGAATAAATGCTCAATCCAGGGTTCACACAAAACATGATTTGCAAGTAAAAAAACTGGTATGTTTTGAAAAGAAAGCACATGAAGGTCATTTTTTCATTTCATAACAAAACCTTATACAGCACAATGAAAAGGTCCTTTTGTTATTTGAACTTTATCTGAATATTTCCAACTGTGTAAATAACCTCCAGAGCTTTAATACAGTATTTTTTCTACACTGCATGATTTAATTTATTTGATACACTATTTCACTCTGTCTGTTTCTTAACATCAAAGACTATGCATTATATACAGCATATGAGCAATGGAGGAATGGCAGAGCTGTAATAACAATATTTTTACCTGTATTTTAATATTAAAATATAAACACTCTCCCTTAACTACTATGTGTCATAAGGGGTATGATACCCATCAGAAAATCAATACTTGCACTCATAAACACGTCTCTGATTTCCACTGTATATTGATTATTCTTTAGTGCTGCCAGAGAAAACGGGGACAATGAGCAGCTTGAGGTGTGCTTATTACAGGCTCTTACTGGGGTAAATTACTGCCAGGATAATAGTTTCCTTGTCATAGATTTTAGTCTTTAACCCTGTGTAGCCTGAGAAATACCCTGGTGTGCCTTGTTTCAAAAATAGGCATGCGCGCAAGCATACCCACACATAAAAACAAACATCCACCAAATGCACGTGTAAGCACACACACACACACACACACACACACACACACACACACACACAGAGAGAGAGAGAGAGAGAGAGAGGGATGCTAAAAAAATTCCTTTCTGACCTCCACTGAATAATAAATGAATGCGACTGTTTTACCCTCCTCACCTTGTGGGCTCATCAAAGTACATGATGGGAGGGTTGTTGACCAGCTCCAGGGCTATGGACAGCCGCTTCCTCTGTCCACCAGAGAGGTTAGTGACTCGCGTCTTCTTACTGTCTATCAGGCCCAAGGTCTCTAAAATGTCGTCCACCTGTGAAAATAAGTTTTGTCTTAACGCTCCTTTTTTTTTTTAGATTTATTCATTTAAATTCATGAAAAGTAAAATTCAATTTAATCTGGATAATCTAAGAATGCAAAATGCACAATGATCAAATGTGACAATATGCAACAATTATAATATTCTGGCATGGTGCAGTACTTCTTTTAGCTTATTAGATATCTGAATAATTGTTTCAATACCATATTTTGAAGATATGAAAAAGGCACATCTAGTTTCTAATACAAGCCTGACAGAGGCTCTCCTCCACTTAACATATAATACTCCAATGAACAATTTCAACATTATTCAGGGTTTTAGGCTCTATTCCCATAGATTTTAGATCGATCTATCCCTGCGGGGAGTCTCACTAGATTACTTTCAGATAATCCAACTTAAATGTCCGTCCCGCCTATTACAAGCTGTAAGGGGGTAATTAACTTTCGTGTCCGCCCAGCTGACAGCTATTTAGCGTGAACCCCCAGGGAGTTAGGTCGATCTAAAGTAGGTCGATCTAATCTATGGAAATGGGGTGTAAGAGAAACAACAAATGAAAAACATACACGTTCACCAGCTGCTATTACAATAAAACAGTATCGAGATTCAGGGTGGTAAAGCATGCTGGTTCATAAATATTCTACACAGCTAGTCCTAATTTCCTCAAATCAGAACAAACAAAAGTATTGATGCTGCCATAAATATCTCTTCTTTCGCTGAATATATCTCCTTAGAGAGGGCCAGGCAATTCAGCGTGAGCATGCTGAAAACATTTGGTTAGCAGATTCTCACACCAACTCTTGCTGAACATTCTTATTGGGTTATGGTGTCATTGAGTGTGTTTTTGAGTGTGGTTTTTCAGTATTATTAACCACTGATACGAACCAGGATATTGCAAAAGGGGTAATGTAGGGTGTGGGTAGCAAAAGGGTTCCACTCGGAATTTCTGCATGCAAAAAGAATCTGGGGAAGATGACAAAATGGAGAGGATCTATCCTAGAAAATATTTGTTCTAGTGAATACCTAGGACTCAATTGAATTTCTGCTCTGATGAAACCCAAGTCAGTCATCCTTTCTGCGTTTTTTTTTTTTTCGTTCTGCCTTTCTTTTTACTTATCTATATCCACCTTGGACAGTGGTGAAATCTAGTCTAGTCCTACACTATAATACTGAATAGTCTGTTTTATATCATTCTATTTCTAATCACAGGTTTATCTCCATTGCATGCTGCATGTATGGTAATGATTTATCTCTAGCTAGCAGGTAAACATGTCTTCATCAAATGTTTCAATGAAACGTCCCAGGAGATCCCCCAGGAAATTATATGCTCAGGTGTGCTTGGCCCACATTTGCACATATAGTCAGTCGAAAGTTACTACATATACATTCTCTCTTTTTTGTTTTTTGCTTATCACAAATTCATAAAACATCCTTTTCATCACAATCATGCCACTGCTTGGGGGGAAATTAATTACAACATTTGTCAAAATCAAATATCTCCTTGCATGGCCGTAGGATGCTTGCTAAATTGATTTCATCTGGATTATCAGGACCATATCTGTCTGCTTTTCTAGACAATATCCGTCTACTTTATCTATTTTTCCTGAGCCATTATAACCCACCCTGGGTTTCATGCTTCCAAGCTGTGCAGAGGAGAAAATCGGGACGTCAGTTTGAAAAACTTTGTTGATTAGTTACAGAAATGATATAGAACGCATTTGCCTATTGCATTAATTGGCGCTAATTATTTGCAAATAGATGAAGCATGGAATCTGCTACAGTAAATGATAAACAGCCTGAAAATGTCACTTGAATTGTATTTGTTGAGTTGTTGATGTTATAAATACAGAATATATTACTGTTTAAATGTGTATCAAACAAAGGAAAATCTCTGTCACAATGGAAATTTGTTAAAAAATATCTCATGAGCATCATCATAATCATGTGCCCTGCTTAACAGCAATTTGGTAATCAAATGTCTCTGTCTTATTATTATTCTTTATGTACAAACCTTTTGTTTCTTCTCTGCTACTGTCATTTTCTCTGTTAGTTTGAGATTGGCACTGCACATCATGGACTCCTCAACGCTGAGATGTGGCAAGAGGTGATCATCCTGCATGATGTAACACGACATCTTGCGGAAATTGCGCAGGACCCTCGGCTTACCATTGACTAGAATTTCTCCAGTGACAGATTTTGTCCTAAAAAATGTACGAATACTAAATGATATGCATAATACTGGTAATGCTGAATTACCCTTGGTTTATACAAAAGAATAAATTTAAGATAATCATCACTTAATAACACATTTCTTGTTTATATACAGATGTGTATTAATTTCTGTATAATCAAAAAGTAAAATGTTTATCAGATTTTTAAAGTCAATTATAAGCAAATTACAAGCAAAAAAACTTTTATAAGCAAATCAAAACCCATCTCAAACCCACAACATATTCAAAACATATCAATGGTCAACCCATAACAAACCCAGATGTCCTTACACATATATCATATAAACCACCCACCTGTAACCCGCCAGGATATTCAGTAAAGAAGACTTTCCAGCCCCTGAAGGCCCCATCACTGCTGTCAAGTTCCCAGCCTTGAATTTTCCAGATATACATTTCAGTATAGTTTTGTAACCTGGAAAGAGAAAACATGTTTCTGTGGTAGTTGTATATAAAAATTGTTTGGTAAGCCTGGAAGGACAAATATCTGAAAATAAGACAAAACTTTGTACACTTCTGTCAGCTGCACCACAATTGCTAGTCTGTCAAATTTCTGACACCATTCTCCTCCAAATGTGAGAGCCTGCTTGATTTTTGTGTTCTTATCAAAGTGCTAAACTTTGGGCTATTTTAGAGGTTACAAATTGATAGATACTTGAGTGCATACACAATATACCTGATTGTTTGCACAAACATACATGCCAAACACACACGTGCACAGTGCGCACACACGCACAAACACATTCAAACCTTCATTATATGTAAATTAATGCTATTTTCACATATAGCCTACAAAATGCTATTTAAAACATTAAGTAACAAGTAATTTAATGCATCCTCCACAAATGCCAAATAAAATAAAGTTTGCCAATAATTTTATATGTGACAAGGCATCTGAAAAGTCCTGTGTCATTTTTCACCAATATGTTACCAATTTTGTCTAGAAAACGAGTAATTTGGCTAAAAAATGGATGTCAGAAGTGGTTCCACATTTAACAGTTACAGATATAACCATTTAGTAAATAAGACAAGATATCGAATCCAATGTTACATTATCAAGTACATGGTAAACACCAATGATGCACATATGTAAATAAATATTTGATAGCAATGTGTACAATGTTTCACCTCTTATACAGATTACAAAACTACATGCTCTAGCAAAAATATGTGTCAGATTTTCAATGGTCTTGTTACATACATGTGTATTTCAATAGTTTCAAACACAATAGTGTTGTCAGTGCAGTGTAATTTCCATAGTTAAGTCAGTCACCGACCTTGAGAAAGGCAGGAATTTCTGTCAATGGTAGAGCATTGAGAAACCACTAATAGGTCTGCTTGTGGTGAAATTAATGTGACCACATCATTCCTACAGATTGAACCTACTGGTAAATTATCACAAGTTCACAAGGTGGAATGCACTGCAAATACATACATATTTTTTTTCAAAAACACCTGCTGTAATATTTCTGTGAACCACCAAACATCCCGTTATATAAGCATAACTTGAAAGCACTTTTAAATATTTTACTTCTCATATTAATCACTTTGTGGAATTCTTACTTTTATCTGCTAGTAATATATGTTAAGTACTTGTTTCCGCTAAGATTTATCTTAAATGTGAAGAATTTGCAACTATACATATTGATTAAGAGCTAGCACAAAACAGAGAGAGAGAGAGAGAGAGAGAGAGAGAGAGAGAGAGAGAGCGTGTTTGAGGGGGAGAGGGAGGAAAAGAGAAAGGAGGAGGAACAGACAGTATAAGGGAGAGGAATCAGAATATCATAATAACATTAACCCTTGAGCAATGAATGAAACACTGAGGAAACACAATCAGACAGCCGCCAAGAAAAGTATAGTACATTTAAACCAACTTCACACCTGTGTTTTGTATTAACTGGCGGAAAAGGTCAGAACCCAAAACCAACAGCTTCCCTGATGGTATGCTGGCTGGGAATAGAACTTCATGCAGCCAGAATGGAAATTTCAAGCAAACTCCCGAGGAACCTTTCACTGCAATCAGTTATTTTTAGTCCGAGACAGTACTCCAAACATAGCTCAGACAGAGAAAATCAGTCTAAATACATTTTCTTAATTTTATTCTCTGAAGTTCTAATTTTCAAAGGAAAATTAAATCACCTATTATTAGATAGAGTGTTGGCTCAATCTCACCAACTTTGTTCTCTCTCTCTCTCTCTCTCTCTCTCTCTCTCTCTGTCGAGCCAATTAATGTACAGCCAGTGTTATTACTGGCCTTATGAAATTTCTGAACAACTGGACCAATTAACAGGCTCAAAAGTCTTAGATCAGGGAGACTTAAGACCAATGAAAATTTGGGCTACACTATCATGAGTCCATAAAAGTGAGTAGCATAATGGAATATTCAACTTGACATGCTTCATTTGGATGTTTTCCCTTATACTTTTTACAAGTACTACTATGGTTCAATAACTTACAAAGAGAAACTGCTGAAAAAGAGTAATTTCCAACTATTATTCATGCCAAAAATAGATTGATCTTTTTCAAGCAATGTTGAATCCTTTGTTACACTTTCTTTTCACATGACATTCATAAATGTCAAAGACTGTTAAATCATACTTTCTTTAAAAAAAGTAATTTCCAACTATTGTTCATGCCAAAAATAGATTTATCTTTTTCAAGCAATGTTGAATCCTTTGTTACACTTCCTTTTAACACGTCATTCATAAATGTCAAAGACTGTTAAATCATACTTCTTAAAAACAGTACTTCAGGAAAAAAATCTGGATTCATTATTTCAACCTTTTTGGCACAGCATGGTCACAATCATATCAGGAGCCTGTTTAATGAACAAACTGAAGCTGAAAATTGCCCCCTGCAATAATTGCGAAGAAATTCTGCAGTTTGCATTCCACAAATAAAATCTAAATGGTCTCGTCTTGTTTTTACCCACTTCTTTTAACTAAGCCCCTTGAGCAAAATTTCGATTGAATTTACCATTGGTTTTTTACACTCCACAGTGACAATAGCCCATTTACATATAAACCCGCTGTACAAGTATTGTGAACCAATCAATTGTAAAGTACTCCAATACTACAATGTTTACTCAATTTGGTTGATTATCCATATTCATCTTATTCCAGGCGCCCAAAATCGGTAGACATTTTGTAAAACAAAACTAGTCGCCTGTCTCACCTTTAACAGAAGTTGTGTAATGGACACCAACAAATGATCTGGTGTCGTGACCATAAAACCCTGTGTTCAACTTCATTTGCTAAATCTCCATTTCACTAACGGGTTATTTTAGCAAATACCAATAAAATGACAATGCTAGCTAATGCTGTCACTACATGACAACTGTCTTAAATTAAACTAGATCATAAACACACAAGGATCCACCTTCCATGTCTAAAGTTTTCAAACCGCATATTAAAGATATGTTGTGTACATTTAACATGTCCCAAAATCATATTTTCATGCCTAAATGTCAAAGTGTAAAGCTACTTATTTATTCCCATTCAGACCTATATAAATCTTCTCAAATAAAATCACCTGACGTCAATATTTTCTTCAGAAATGTCAGGGAATTTTGAAGGTTAATTTAACTACTTGGAAGTTGTTTGAGCAAATTATTTGATTAAAAGTCACCAAGTGGTTCAAAACTTGTAAGAGCAAGCTAGGACAGCACTAATCAGTGAATGCAAGAAAAACACTTTTTTCCAGAAAAATTAAATTCGGTTCTGAAATCCCACATCTACGCAACCTTTCAGCAATGTGGTGACATTAAGGTAACTATTTCTGCAAGTCACCTCAAACCATTATGATATTCTGGGTGCCCCGTATCTGAGCACAGTTCAAGTTTCCGCCAACATTCCATCTGCTGTTGCCAACCTACTTGGCACAAAAAAGTTTAATCAAAGTAAAAAGTGAAAATAATACCTTCTGTATTATCTTACTGGTAGTATATAAATGCAAATTCTTTTATCAGGATTTTTACTGTGTAATGAAAAACCAATATGGTCCTTTCAGTTTAATAGAAAGCAGTCTATCACATGTAATGCTGCCCTCTTAAATTGTTTTACCTTCCTGACAGCTATTTTTTTAATAAACAAAAATAAAACTGTTTACCCAAATTGCTTTATTCTTGCAAAGACATTCACAACATGAAAAAGAGAGCAAATATCTATTTCTATGAAGTGCACAACCTCTTCACATAACTAAATAACTTCTTGTGTACATATAAATTACTTCACCTTATTGCAATTTTGCTATAGTATGAGTATACTAGTAAATGTTATCAACGTTTGTCAGTTTATGAATTTTAGCTTTCTGCTGAATTCATTTGATCCCTGACTAATAAATTGAAAAAAAAAGTCCCTTGAATATACAATAAAAAGGGTGACTTATAGATTTTTGATAAAATATATATTCATACCTTTTAGGGTTTTTAAACAGAGCAATCAAAACTACATAAGTTGTACACACACACACACACACACACACACACACACGATGACATATGAAACAAAACAATACACAATTACTTCTACGATTTTATCAAAATGCCCCAATAAATAAAATGTATATTTAGATTAAAAGAAAATACTGACAAGTTTTCAAGCAAGTAGTTCCAACAAAAAACTTTGCTCAATTGGAACAACAAAAACTACAGGTAATTAAGTATCAAGTTACCTCTCACTGACAAGGTGATACACAACAATCAGTACATGCCAAATAAAGGTCAAACTGTCTGGACAACTAAATTTTCTGGCTTGAAGAAATAGAGTTAAAATCCTGCCTGCCAAAGGCTTAGTATTCCATTATCTCTGAATTTCATCTTTGGACAAATGAAAGCTTTGGCCCTGGTCTGGTGGATTTCTAAGGTTTACTAGCCTGCGTGACCAGTAACCAGTGTTATGTATTGGCCTGTACCCATCTGCGGGCATATATTGTAACTTTTTTCAGTTCCCAAACAAAAACAACTGCACTACAAATGAAAATGTGCTGCTTGTCTTTTTTTATTTTTTTATTTTTTTTAGCAAGTTCTAATTTACCTTCACTTTCTGCAATATTCAACACGTGGGGAGAAAAGTAATTGTAATTTAGCCCCCCCCCTCCTTCTAACCTTCCGAAGGAGATTAAATATCTCCTTTCTTCCTTTAGAAAGCTGAAAAGCCAGGAAAAAGGAAGAGATCTCTTATCTATCATAATAATGAATGGAACTGTGACTTCCAACAGGATATCTGTGTTACACTAGTTCCTGATACCATCCAACAATTTTGCTGATTCACAATAAAACAAAAAGACAAACTAAATGCTGTTCGATGAGTCACTGGCACAAGTACATATTACAGAAAGTCACTGGTGGACAACATATTGCTTTGTTATCTAACTGAAATAAATGATCTCTTGTTTTCAAACAATAGAAACCAATTCTTTTCAAGAGCAAGGAAGACTTTCATTCCATTTTTTTTATTTATTTTTTTTTATTACTTTAGCATAGCATTATATCTGGAATCTGCAGCTCATTCACATGGCTAATAAAAATGACCCTTCACAGATAACATGTACACAGTTCAAAGAATCAAATTGGTCATTTTTCTCACGGATATGGTATTGGAGACAGTGGAGAGTATTACAAGGAATTACCTTGAATATAGACTGATATAACCACTGGACACCTGCTGCTGATCACACTATGCTGGTCTGCATAATTTAATCATACCTGAAAAGCACCTGTTCCTTAAGTAACCTTGCAAATGGACAGGTGTCAAAAACAATAGGTGCAATACAGCAAATAACCATCACACAATTTCTCCTACAGGTCATTACTAGTAATATTATTATAGAGAAAGCACTTTGACTTTTGTTTATTTAGGATTCTCCTGGAATCATTTGTTCTTATCTGTGGTCCCTCTCTTCCATCCTCCCTCCATCTTTCTCATTCCATCTCTCTCTCTCTCTCTCTCTCTCTCTCTCTCTCTCTCTCTCTCTCTCTCTCTCTCTCTGAGGTCTATGACAAAGGTAATAAATTCACCACTACCAACATGTACACAAAGACAAAGAGACAAGTCAGGCCAACTGCTCATTATTCCTGGCAAACTCTTGATATACAGTTACATCAAACAGCAGGCCACTATCTGAGCCACTTCCCCTTGTCAACCTTTACCTGAGGGCAAGAACCTGACTTTTACCTTTACCCCCTCTCTTTTAACTACTCCATTAAGCTTAAGGATGTATAAATGTAGCCATTACTGGTCCTGGTAGAGAGAACATCTTGTCAATTTATGAACTGTCATACATAAGCTGTACTTTCCTCTCAATGGGCAGTGACTTTTTTCCTTCCCCGTTATAGTCTTAGCAATTTATTTTGGTGAATGTGAAATAAGTCACCTGAGTCATTTGTTCATGTTTTTAATTACAACTGGTGCTTTGTATGCTTCAAGTCATTAATGGATGAGTTTTTTTCATAAACAATGGTTGTAATCAATGCCATTTTATAGTAGTAATACATTAACTTCTGGATTCCACTGGCCTTAACATGCCTTTTCCCACATTTTGTCAGAGAGAGTGACTAAATCCATAGTTTTGCTGGAGAGGTGGGGGGGGGGGGGGGCAATGGGTGGGCTAGCTTGGGGCAATGTAGAAGTTGACCAAAGACGGCAGAAAAAGCACCTGCTGTATTATCTTTTATTACCATCAAATTCATCCTCAGAAATCACACACAAAATCGATCCATCATAAAGCTGTCTAGTGCCTATATATATTAAGTCCCCTGTAGATGTGGAGATTTCATACCAAGTTGACCCCTTACTTAAGGGTCCCACACTGCTATTATTTCATGAACAGTGCCAAGGTCAAAGTCTACAGAAGAAAACACATTTTCTTTTCTAAAGAGCCCTTAGCCTTTTTCCCCCCTCAAACTTTACTTCCTCAATCCAAATTTAACCCTCCCAACTAATAATACCAAAATAGTACCACATAAAAATGCAGTACTGACAATTTTTGTACATTTAAAATTATTCATCTTTAATTGGGCTTTTTTTTATTACTGAGACATGTTTATTATATCACTAGCACACAGTAGATTGCGTGTGAATAAGTCACACAACTTGCCGGTTCAAGGACTCACAATAAGTGAGCTGTCTGGCCTTGTAACACCATATCTAACAACTTTATAGTTCCCTGTCATAAAAATTGTGGAGTCCTTGAACATATGTGAAGCAAACAGCTGGGACGGTCCTGCAGTTTTACATTACAGTTTATTATCTCTACAATTAGATACGGTAAATGGGATAAAGTGTTTGGGTAGAATTGGGGGTCACTGAGTGGAGAAATGGGGGAAAGGGCCAGTGATCACTATTTTTGATCAATAGAATATTGTAAAATTGCCAAAGAAAAAATTATACAGGTGGTCTTTTGTGTGTACACAAACAATTGTGTATAGGTATGTTAAAGAATGTTTGAAAGGAAAGAAATGTACATTTACAGATAAAACCCTTGGGTGTGTGGCATATACAGGTGTGTGCGTGCTTGCATGGTTATGTGCATGTAATTTGTGCACGTGTTTGAGTTTGTATGTTTGTACATTTGCCAGCTGAGGAAGTCATGTGAAAAAGAGGGGCGGGAAGTTTCTTTCAGTTTGTTTAGAATAAGAGTGTATGATGGGTTCAAGGTTTACTAATGCATACTAAAAAGCGATATTTATAAATACAGGACGTGCAAAGAGGACAACCTCCTGATTCGTGTAAATTACTATTTTCACAAGATATTATCATTTGCTTGCTACAATGAATTCCACTGAACAGTTATTTCAGAGCCTGAACAGCTATTTTAGTGCCTGCCTGCACCAATACAAATGATCCATGGCGATGCACATACGTATGAATATACAGAATTACTAATACAATTTTGGCACTTCAAAAAAATAAATCTGGAATCACATCCATAAAGATTTGTAAATTACAATGATTTTTAATCTTTAAGACTAATTTGTAACTCAGAAAATGATAAACCTTCAATAATTTGGGCCCAAGATCAACTTTCTCTCACCTTTGTTCCTTCCTTCACTGACAGAGTACTGAAGGTCTTTGAATTCGATATCCACTGGTTTCTTTTTCATCAGAGCTATGGCCTTGGAGTTTTCCACTTTTTTCATCAGTCTATAATCTGCTGAATTGACAGAACTATTCCCCACCCTGCTCTGGTCATCTAGCTGAGAAATGGTGTCTTCAAACTCCATAACCGCAGGGACGTGAACTTGAACTGACATCAAATCTGCCATGTTGCTCTTGTTGTGTTACTGTAGTTCAGTAATTTTCAATTTGACATTTAATTTCTTATTTTTCCTCTGGTTTCAAAAATATGTCTTAACAGAGCTGATATTTTACAACAGATGTTAAATTATATTGCACTGAGTACATATGCAACAACATGCTCTTCATTAACAGGAATTAATCCAATGGTGCACACTTAAGCAGAGAAAAGAATATGATAAATATCCAGTTGCTTCCTTGTAATTAGCAAAATTTCATCAATAACAGTGGCCTTTTTCTATCCTTCTCAGCTCTGTCTTTAAGTATGGCTTTAGTCCCAAATAAGTTATTCTCATATATGCTTCCGTAGCATGCTAATCTACATCAAAGGCTAGGAGCAATTCCTGATCATATCCTATCAAAGATAGCCAGCTTTATAATCCACTAGCTAGGATACATGGAAGCATCAGCCTGAAACAAAGAAATATCAAGTCATATATGAAGTACATGGTTAGAGTGCATTTGCTAAGCCCCATGTTTTATTTATTATGTAACAAATATCAATTCAGAGAGGAAGCAATCAACAACAACTTCATATTATTCAATATTTACATTACATCATATTAATATATTTATCATTATTACATAATACATAGCATTTATAAAGGCTTATATGGATTAGCCTATGGACTTAAGATTACAATAAAAGTTTTTAAACTATAAACTATCAGACAAGGTTTACGTATCAGTTAGCCGTAAATCTTTGTCCCCCCCCCCCCCCCCCCCCCCAACCCAATCCCCCCCCCCCCTGCGGGGGGGGGGGGGGGGGCGCAGGGGAAGAACATTTTTCTCTGTTTCCATATCACTGAATTCATTTCAACTATAATATATCGTCAAAATCAAGACTAGAGCTAAGAATTCTCCCCAGTGTAAATACAAAATATGGAGCGGACGGTGAAATCTACATACACAACATTCACTGTCGATTTCCATGGCTGACGTCAGCCTTTACTTGTCGAGACAGATCGACAGATTAAATACTCGAGCTTTTAAAAAAGGTGACTCAAATAACAACAGTCAAGGACATTACAATGAAAAAGACGAAATATGTTACCTTACCTCCTGACGTTTAGTTGATGCCTGGGTACATATATGTAGTAGATTTAGACTAAACATCCCGCCTTGGCTGGACTCTCAGCTGCCGTGTCTGTCACTTCATCGTGGCAAATAAATCTAAACTCCGTGCGGTAGAAGCTTGAATCAATCTTGCTGAATAATAAATATTTTATCCTAGTTGCAGTTCAAGCTGTAGCGAAGTTACTTGTCTTGGAATCCAATTCCAAAACCTTGAACCATTGTCCTTGTATTAATATATATTATTGTTGCTTTGTGTACTGCCAGTCTGCTTCGTGTGGAAATTGTGGCCATAAAATTATTGATGAATACATTAAATAGAAGACGGCACGTGATTGGTTGTTTGCCTACCCTCTCGCGCTGTGTTCCAGTTACAGGTGAAATGCAATTGGATATTGTGCCTTTTGAATGCTTAAATCTTGCCGTTTTATTTTGCTTTATGTTATAAGAGATTAAATTTCGTGTAAATAAGTGTGTGCACATTTAAATAAAAATTATGCAAGAGAAAATTCTTTTGTTCTGACATTACAAAATAGACGCAGTGAAAGTGAGTCTGGAGAAACGAAAATAAAATGACTTTACCCAATTTTATAGTTATCCATAGCTTAAGCATTATGTCTTGTTTTTAGTTGTTAATAAATTGTAAATTGTAAGAAGAATATTAAAAAGATCCATCTTGTAACTGAGTGTGTATAATCATCTCGACTCTCGATTTCGACCCAAGCAAAAAATCTTAAAATAGAATAACTCGTGACTACTTTGTGGGAAGGTCAAAGTCCAAGCACTCAGCTGAAGGGTGAGAGAGTGGCTACAGTCAAGCAGCATATGAGGCTTGTTTTTAAAATGACAACTTGTTTGGCCGATTGACTCATTACGCAAAACCTATGGAATTTTATTTCATTCATTCATTTTATCAATGTTAAAATATTACTATTTAACTATTTATCATAATTTTTTCTTTCTTTTTTGCTTATATTATATTTAATGTTTTTATTTATTTATTTTTGAAAGGAAATTACTATGATCCACTTGTTACATTCATGTGAAATCATTGCATTGTGACGTACAGAAAAACGGATCCTGGAAACATGCACACACACACACACACACACACACACACACACACACAAAAAAAAAAAAAAAACTCTAAGCAATCTCAAGTGCTGATCTTAAAAGGGGTTTTGTTCTCCAGGTGCTTCTTTAAAAGCATTTTAACTCTAAATCAATGCAGAAACAACTGAGCATAAATAAGGTTTTACTATTGTACAAAACTTCTGGATACAAGAATTTTTAAATAATTAAAATTAACTTGATGCATTATATAGCTTGCAAAAGTTAATCATTTCCAAAGGTGTGGACGGAAAATAAAAAAAAAAAAAAAACATGATTATGAAATCTAGCCTAATACAGTATTTAAAAAACGAGAAGAACACGTTAAAGAGTATCTTGCATCAAAAATAAAATAAAAACAGAGTAAAAAAGATTAACCATGCAGATGATTGAGTATTAAAGCTCTACAACTACAAATCTCAGTTACAGGTCTTTCAAAACCTTCAAACAAACATTCAAAGGTAAGCTAACATGTATATAAATTATCCTTCTTAAAAAGTACTTATAAATTTAAACCAGTATGAGAAGAACAAACTTTTTATAATTTATAATGCTTTAGCAACTGAGTGGACTAAGCAAGTGTCTGACATATCTATAGATACTGGTGAAGGGCTTACAGTGACTTCCTTCAGAATAACACCATATTATAAATGTATAAATATAATTTCCACATATATATTTATATAATTGTACAAACATCAAAAGCAAAAGTTATATGAGCACTTACCTAAGAGTATTATAAATCTATAAAATGAAGGGTATCTGTTCAGTAAAAAATATGTTACCACACTTAATAATAGTTCATAATAGTCATATTAGATGAAAAACAAATATTCAGATCTTTTCCGGAGGGAACTCCTACAACTAACCTGTAAAATCTTTTTAAATAAATAAACAAAAAATAAAGAAATAACATAAAAAATATGACAATGCAGTTTTGTCTGAAATATTGTGCTTATGAAAGAAGATATTAAAACAGATGTAGGTTGTCAAATGTATGAATTCACCCAAAGGCTAAAAAAGGGTGAATTGAATTTCCCCATGTCAATGTAATATATTCGTGAGTGAAAAATAAAAATAAAGATTTACTTTGATATTTGGAACCCTGCACTACAGTTGTGTGTGTAACCGATAGCCAGCATCGCTCCATGATGTTTGTCTTCAGCCCTTTTGACATAAAATGGTATATGTAAGTGACACAATCTGTGTCACTTCAACATTAGGTCATAATATGTAATCATGCTACACGGGGTCTTACTCTATTTCACAAGTTTTCCACAAGTTTGCTTCCTGCTGTTAAGTTATTTAATCAACCATATCATGTAACTCAATCATGTAATAGCCAAGCTGCTTAGTTCCCAGTCATTCAAATCTGATACAGACTGTACTCCGTACAGTATATATATTCCACTCAATGTGAAATGTGCCTTGGTGGATAAGAAAAACTGGGTGTAATTGTGTTAGATGTGACGGCACATTGTGTAACATCCACTGTTGACTGTGAATGAGGAGCTGGTCCCTGAGCTGGTGCATCACAATACCTTGTTCAAGAGAAATGCTAACTGTTAAATGTGAGAATAAGAATGTATGGACATACAAGATGTGATAACTAAGAGAACAGAACAAAGTTCAATGTAATATTAAAATCTATACCAATGTCCTACATCATGATCGTTTTCAGCTGTAAAATATAGGGCTTTAGATTTGTTTCCTGCCATAAAGAATGAGATTTTGATTAAAAGAAAAAAAAAAACTGTTGATAAAAACCCTGTACAATAGAGTTTAGACAGACCTAACCCCCTCTCCTTTTCCTCAGCAAGCAAAAAGTAAGCAGCTCTCTACTCTCACCATCTCCTAAATAAACTTGAACATTCAATGTGCCCATTCTTGAGTGAACATCTTGGATGGACATGTCACACCACAGCATCACTGTGTTTAATGGTGTAACATTTCTTTCTGTATATTTCAGATCATGACTATGATGTCAAGATTTAAAGAATAACAAAAAAACTTGACTATTAAAACAAAACTGCATCGTGATGTTTTATCTCCTCTTCTTCATCTTCCTCCTCCTCCTCAATCAATTCCTCATCCTCGCTCTCCAGTGTTGTGTCTCCCTCATGTTCAAATTCAAGGTTGCTTCCTTTGTGAACAACATCTGGGTCAAAGATGTCATCATCATCATCATTGTCATCGCCAGCTTTCTTCTCCTTTGTGGTTGCAACCTTTTCATACTCCTCTGGTGCAAGAAATATATTGGAATCCAATGGAGGAAAAGCATAGTTCTTTTTGGGAAAACGCGATCCCAAAGAACGACTGACATATTGGCTGAATTTTACTGGAGGGAGTGAAGCCTCGGTTTTATCTGGTTGACTGTCCGTGGACTCCTCAATTAAAAGAGTTTTGTCATTGCTGTGCTTGTCTGGGAGGGCGCTGTCATCTTTTGAGATGGAGATTCTGTGTTTGGGTTTGGAATGTACTAATTTTCCCAAGGCTTCCTTGGAGGGCGTACTGAACTGTGAAGACCTAATACAAAAGAATGAAGCACATAGGAAAGGTTGTGTGCTGTTATTAAACATACCTCACTCTTACTTTATTGAGATAATTATATGTTCAGTTCAGGGGCAGATGGAAGTCATCTTCTGGGTCTTTTGGAAGACAGTCAGAATTTTCAAGTTTACACTGACGGGCATACAATTTTTTTGTTGGAAGATAGTCAAAAATTGAAGATGGATCAACAAAGATAATATGGAATACTGTCAGAAAATATCTCTGGATCCACCCTGCAGTTGAGGTACTAGTAAATATATTAAATTTTTAATCAGCACCTGGGTTTAAAACAATTATGGTAGCCCTTAGCTGAGTACTATCTTCCATATTTAGTAGATTAAAACCAATTCTCTTACATGTCTCTACTCCTTAAGCTGCCTTCTGGGCTGTAAAGTTTACTGTTTTTGTTCACCACAGCGTACAGACTTGTGTCAGGCTCATCTTGGCCACTAGATCTAGAACTTCTCTCAGAACGAGGTGAGACCTCTGCATACTCATGGGAGCTCAAACTGTCACCTGGAATATATGGCATGCAAATAATTCATTTGCTAAAAATTAGTGTGTTCGCCAAACGATTATCATTTCTCTGCACATATTCCTTTGTAAAATTTATCGTAATTTTTATCATCTGACTGTTGGTGTTTAATAAAATATTAAAATAAGAAAACACAGCATTTATAATGTAAAGTGAATCTTCATGGAAATTTTATATTTTTTTCATTGATCACCAGGCATATCCTATGCACAAACAATTTTATTTTCCAATCATTACCTGTCCTGTCTAAACTTCGTAGCACTCCATTTTGTTTCTTCTTGGTTTGTGCTGGCTCCAGGTAGTTGACAGAGTTTTTAGTGGTCTAAAATACAAGCAGTTTTTGCTGGTCTATAACATATTAATAAACATAAGAAGATTAAGGAACATGCTTAAATCATTTCAGCTGACTCATATTAATGCCAATATAAAAAGGAGCTATGACATCAGATTACAAATCAAGTCAAAAACTAATTCAAACCAATCTTTAATCAGGAATAATAAAACACACACACACATCTTAAGTGAAAGTTATGACATGTTTTCATAAGTATCAAGACTGCAGGGCATGTGACTCGAAAAGCTTCAGTATGATTGGTGGGGTTTGGGGGTTCCCTGAGATATCACCAGAACATTGAGTCTGAGATGTACAATTCCCAGAAATTTACATTTGTCATCTTGACACAATGGATGCAGAAAAGATTTTAACAAAGATCTGCAGACAAAATGATGAAGGCAACTGAAGCCAAACACAACAAAAAGTTAATTTGGACAATTTTTTTTAAACTGAAAAATCATTTATAAACTAAACCATTACCTCTTCTATATATGCATAATCCTTTGTTGCATTAAGATGAAAGCGATTAAAATATCAATAATTAATTGTAAGTACACAAAGAGCTTACTTTCGTGATGGACAATAAGAAATATGAGATACATGAATAGTTTTAACAAAACATTAAAAAATATTTTAAAATAGTGACATTTAAAGTCAGTAGGAATACGCACTAAATCAATATTTTCATTCTTCAAGTTTAAACTTTGAATCTTAAATGTTGCAGACAAACATAAACTGGATACAGTCTAACTGATGTCACTTCAAATCTGCAGTTACTTAGCAATATTTTTTTGCTCAAGTTATTTGTGTTTGAACAAAGATGAGCAAATATATAACTTTTAAGTTGTTCTATTATATGGTGTCTGGTTAGTTTCAGAATATTACATTGTATCTAAATGGCACAAGAGTACTTACATCCAGTTCTATTTCTGTGTGTTCTCCTAATGGTTCCTCTTCCACTACAGGGTTGTAATAGCCAGTGGTGCTGCAAACAATGCATATTGTGTTAGGTGAGATTTGAAAGCAATCGATGAGAGATTGTGGTAAGTGTTAAAGGCCAAGCAATTACTTAAATATGTCATACATTTGGTATCTGCTGATAGGAAAAAAAGGAACAAAAAGCTGTTTTCTTCATACTAGCATTCAAAATTTTACACAAATTCAAGAATTTCAAACTGGCAAACAGCAGTAAGAAATTTGCCCTCAATATATCACTCACTCAAAAACAACACTAAGAAGATAAAAATCACAGACACATACCACTCAACCCCAGATTGAGCAAACTCCACAGCACTGAACATAATTTGAAATCAAACCTTGTCAATCAATGTAATATATAACACAAATGAAAATATGCAAATCATTCTTTCAAAAAATGTACCAAGTCAACTTAGGGGAAAAATTATAACAAGGGCAGAGCAAACAGAAACTGTTACCCTAAGAAAAACAATACAAAAATCATATACTTTCTCATTCAAATGCATGTCTCTTTTATGGTGAAAAAACCTGGTCAACTTTATGTGTAAATTTAGTCTGCTTTTGTCCCATTCAAACCAAGCTGTACACCTTTATTAAAAGTCTTGCATAGATGACATTCTTTGCAGGGCCGTAGCCTGAGCAAAATGCCAGGGGGGGCAGTAAGCGGACACGAGGGGGCGAAGCTACCGAGGGGGGAGGGTGTGGTGTGTAAAATCCCAAATTCCAGAGGGGGCAGCTGCCCCCCCTGCCCCCCCGGAGGCTACGGCCCTGCTTTGAAACAATTTTTCAAACTCAACTGTAAACAAATTTTGGTTGAATATCATAAAACCAGACATTAACAATCATGAAACAAACAATCACAGGATCAAACTGAAGAGTGTTGCTGTATTTTCACCACACCCTGTACCTCATCATCTCCTCTGCCAGAGAAAACAGTGGAGACTGGGGCAAGGAATACCCTGGGTCCAGAGGGTCCTGCAGGGGTTCATACTCATCACTATTTTTACAAGCAGCAAGAAAAAGTGATTGGTTATCTGACATGTGAGTCATATGTGAATTTTTTTGCCGTTGTGTACATGCTAGCGTGTGTGCGCATGTGTCTCTCTCTGTTAAAAGAGTGTAAGTTCTGTTATCTGTGGTATCAGTCATATTCTAAAAGAGAAAAAGCTCATTACAACAAGAATGTCACTGAGGAAATTTTTAATATTTCATATTAAGTCAGATTGTATGTTTCATTGCCTGTCTTGACTCTCTCTCTCTCTCTCCCCCTCTCTCTTTCTTTCTCCTCACCTCTTATACACAATATCAGACCTCTGTGGCTTCACACTGATGCCCTGTACTGATGTGTTCCTGCCCACTGTGTAGGCCGTGTCTGTGGACACATCGTGGGCGTGGTCTCCTTGGAAGTCATAGAAACCACGAATACCTGAGGTGCGGCTGTTCACTGTGTTGAAAACTGTGTCATCAAACTCGAGATTACTGAAATTGAAGGTCACAGTTATAAGATTTTCTTATCCTTATTGTATGTCATTTGTATATAGATATATATCACTTTATTTATAACCAACTGTCATGCTAATTATCTTGAGGCACTGCATAGCAATATATCCCAAACCTCACCTCGTGTCGTGATCCACGTAAGGATTCATCTTCACATCAGATTTTTTAGTCTCCAGAGATTTCTCCTTCTGCCTCAGCCTCCTCTGCTGTGAACAGATCAGTATGAGGAGCAGCACCAGGAGCAGACCCCCCAGACAGCCCCCGATGATGCCTATGATGGTACCAGTGGTGAGAAGCTGCTGATCTTTATATCCCACCTGACTGAACAGAGCTGGAAGGAAGTGATCACATGTTATTAAGACAACAATAACAACAGTAAGACAATAAAAACTTGTGCTGTGTTTCACACAAAGACAGAAATTCTTCCTAAAATGAACCATGATGGAGTCCAATAGTTTAGGCACTATCATAAACAAGTCTGATGTTAACATTGGCCCTTACCCAAATTCCAGTTAAATAGAAAGTTTCATACTGTATTAAACATGTAACGAAACCTGATAAACATCCACATACCTGGTCCTGTCTCAACTATAGTTACATCAGAATAGGGCCCTACTCCTGCATTATTATACATAGCTGCCCTGATCTGGTATACCGTGCCTGCCTGGAGCCCTGTTACAGCATAGTTACCGCTCGTAGTTTGGTTTAATCTGATGGTGGTAAATGCAGACTTGTACACCTCGGCGTAGGCAATAACAACTTTGTCATGGCTGCCATTTTTGGCGAGCTTCCAGTGCACCACAATGGCGTCTGGTCCTCTAGGTGTCGCCTCTGTGATTTCTGGTGTGAGTGTGGGAACTGAAATATGGGAAATATGTAAGTTAAAATGATAGCGAGTTTTCCACTAAAACAGACCAGTATAATCTCTATCTAATAGCATATGATAAAAACAATACATCAGGCATTTCAATTAAAATTTGAAGAGAAATATGTTGAATCTAAATACTTTGTTTCATGAATTTTTTTAATCTTTTAAAATAAATACTTATTTCAAAATTGGAAAATATGAAATAACATTTTTAAAAATCAATATGTCAATGACATCTTATCTCATATTCATCTTACCCAACTCCCTGAGAGTCACTGTCTTGGTCACATACTCCCCCCAGCCCCCCTCAGCCAGTCTGGTATTACCAGCTCTCACTCTGACCTCATATGTACTCTCATAGTCTAAGTTTTCAATCACCAGGCGCAGTGGCTCTGCTTGGTTGGTCTCATATGCCTTAGAGGTACTGGTGTTTAGGTTGGTATAGGTGAGTTGGTATGCAATATTTTCTGGAAAAAAAAAAAAGAGTCCCAGGGTTTGCTTGAACTTTTTGTTCCATCACTTTGGTTAAAATATCTAATGCATGTTCTGTTGAGGTTTATGATAGACAGTTACAATTTAGCATTGTTATTTATCTATTTATTCATGTATTTATTCTTCTATTTGGAAAAGGGACAAGACAAATACATATATATGGAAAGCTACAGCACATCTACAGGTAAGAAAAACAACAGGTATTGGGTCAGACCTACCTGCATAACCATTCAAGACAACAGGTCTGGACCAGCTGATAATAATGGAGTTCTGTTTGGTTTCTACGGTAACATCAGATGGGAGACCTGGAGCTGTGGAAAGAGATGTTCTGGGTTTAGTGTCGAGGTATTAAGGGGTTCTTAATGTGCAGTACTCTCTTAAACAATTTTCAATTACTCATAAATAGTTTTAAAAGCATAATTCCACATGATATTAGCATATTGTTCTATATGTGCAAGTTTAAGAAGAATATGACAGTGCTCTTAATTAAAAAATGGTCACTGTACAAAATCCAAAGGGCCAGTAGATTCTGTACATGGGTAACATGAATGACAAAATACAAAATGAATTCAAGATAAAGCATTTTAAAAAAGAAGCTTATAATCAACTCTTACCACCATCTAAAGTGTTGACAATAGCAGATGCCTCGCTAGGGTCACCATAGCCCAGGATATTTCTACTTCTCACCCTGAACTCAAAACTAGCAAACGGGACCATTCCTGTCACCAAGTATGGCAACTCTGTAGTCCCCACCATACCCTCCACATCTGTCCACTCTGTGGTCAGCACTGGCTGGACCTGCCTGAACTGGACTTTATACCCTGTGAGGGGCAGTTGGCCTGAGTGGTCAGCTATCCAGGATAACTGGACAGTGGAGGAGGTGACCGCCAGAGCATAAGGGGCAGTGGGGGGTCCTGGCACTGAAATGAGTGGAACTTGATATTCTTAATATTTTTCTCACAAACAGAAACACCTTTTACCCTCATAGTTCTGGGCATGATCTGAACAGCGTTAAGTGTTTGGTACATATAACATGGACACAAATGTAGTTTGCAACAAAAATACTTTCCGTGTTTTTTGCCACTGTACATAAACAGTTTTTTAAAACCCAATTTCAACTAAATTTCTGGCTTGCCATGTTACATCCATCACATTTTTTATTTAAATTGTCTGTTTTTCAAACAAGTACATCTTAACTCACCAGTAAGAACTACATTTACAGTGCCGAGTCCATTGTAAGCTCTACAGGTGTAACTGGAAAACACATGCTGCTTTTCTACTACCAGCCTACTGCTGCCATCTACAGTGGAAACTGCATGCCCCACAAGAGGGGATACTGGGAAGATCTGTACTTGCTGTATGAAGTACTGGACTTGTGGAGCTGGGGTGCCCACTGTGATACATGAGAGGGATATACTGCTATTGGTCTCAGTGGCAGTGACACCTCTAATTGCTGGTGGCCCTGAAATATGTGTACGTATAACCAAGAGTGTAGTATATAAATGGATTTTAGGGTAATACATTTATTGCAGTAACATATGTAATACTGATCACCCATGTTCAAAAGTTTACATAAAAGTTTTGTTAATACAAACACCAAGAAAGAAATAGACTTTGTACACTTCAGAAGACAAAGATAAAAAAAATCAAGTATGTATTTAATCTTAATTTGGTAAGACCGACAAAATAATAACACAAAGAAAGTCTCCCTACTAAGCCACTCTGCACAAAATAATTACCTTCAACACTGAGCTGTATCATGCCTTCCATACACCCCAGAAGATTACAGGCCCGGCATGTCCATGTGCCCCAGTGCAGGGAGACATTAGATGTTACAATGTGGAGACTTGATGAATTCAATTGGTAGTCTGGAATTTGGATTGAGTAAAAAACATACCTGTATTATCATATGTTGCTTTATTATAACCAATATATACCATTTTTGTTAAAAAAAAAATTTGACCTTGACCTGAACTTTGACCTTATATCCTACCCAGAGTTCCTTGCATGTCTGCTGGGTACCAGTAAAAACTGATAATTCATTACTTTTTTCAGATTACTTAATTTGCTCCATTTTAAATTAAAATTCATTGAATGATGACGGATACTTTAAGTCTCCCAACATGCCTTGCTAGTTGCTGGTGAAAAAAATTGATAAAGATGGAGATCTCTTACCGAAACCACTTCTGCTGATCACACTGCCACCTGGTGACTTCCATATTAAAGATGGCTTCCCAGTAAAGAAACACTGCATGATCACTGGTTGGCCACTTGGTACAGTAAGACTGGAACTGCTTGCCAATAAACGTGGTGGTACTGAATTGATAAAGCATAAATAGTTACTGTAACATATCCCATAAAATTTAGAAAAAGAAACATTTGATAATTGGTTTAAGCAGCAATTTTATTACAGAAACTACTTCTGCATGACAGTGATACAACAAAGTTTAACATTTGACAGTAGTTTTCTCATGGAACCCATAAAAAGAAATATACTTTCATTCTAGGTGAATTTTATTGTAAATCAAATTAAATAATAATTCAAGCCAATCACATCAATATTTTTTTATTTTGTAATATCCTTATTTTCACTTCATAATTAGAGGCTCCTCCATGGTACTTACAAATCATTTTCTTAAATTATCAAAGAACTATCATGTGTTTGAAAATGCATTATTTGACTGCATTATAAAATAAATAAATGAATAAATAAATAAATAACGGTGTCCTACCATTGACAGTGACATAAGCCAGTCCAGTGGTGTTCCCCACACTATTCCTGGCCACACAGGCATACCAACCTTCACTGCCTTCCTCTATGTTCTATGGAATGGGAGTTCAAAATATTCTTACAGCACATGTATGTTATACAAATCTTATGCACAATTATTGCTGAATATACTACCACAGATAAAAAGATTCCCTTCATATGACAAAGACAAAACACAAAACAATGAAGCAATACTGAATCATTAATAAATCGCATTCCTGCACCCTCAAATTTGACCCACTCAGAAATTTCTTTAAAAAAAAAATAATAGAAAATAAAAAAAAAAAATACCATGTAAATGACTGATTACGTATGTTTTTGTATATCAAAATCCAATTGTCATGTTCTTCAGAAACCTTAAGAAGACTGCCCCTATACTGAATATACTCAGGGTCCCCATTCAGTCACCGTTATTCTAATAAACCACATGTTAAAGACAGTCTCAGCGCGTTAAACCCTTAAAATAGCACGAAAATGAATTTTCCTGGAAATCTCACCAATTTCCCCATAATGACCAAGGTATATCCTATCCAAAACCGTTCAGAAAATGAAGCTACCTAATACCGTTTTTAAGTTCCATTAAATAATAAAAGACGACTCGTCTTAAATACTCAGCTACCACCTCACAGTACAGCTTCAGAACGCGCAATTTCTCGCTAAGTCTCGTGGTTTACTATGAATGAAGTACTACGGCTGAGACCCGGATGTTACTATTTGGCGCCAAAACAGCAAACATGGCTCAGACGCGCGTCAAGTCTGAAGAGGAGAGCGACAAAAGGGGACGAAAGAAAATAGCCACTCCAGTTCGAAAGATACGAAAGAAAATTAGAGACAGACGAAGAAGCACTCAGACTGTGTATGTTGGGAGGGAGGTGGGGCGGTGGAGGACACTTAAAGCTGAGTTAGGACTCACATACGAGGCAATGGCGAAACTACTCCTCGACACGTGAGTATGCGCTTCACAGGTCTCAAGTGTGAATGATTATCATATTAGCCTGTTCACAATAAATGACAATATTTGTGCTCATACAAAGTTGGTTACGTGTATAAGAGCGTTTTGGGCTTTACGTTTTCTGTTTTTGATCGGTACATGTAGATGAAAAGATGGACAGGCGGCACTTACATGTCTGACAAGTTTCGCTGTGTAGTCGTGACGTCTATCTCATTCTGACTGAAGCCTGCTGTGATTGGTCGTAAGCGTGGGAAAATCGAGGTCGTGACCTTGAGCCGGAAGTACTTCTGGCTGTGCTCCGAAATCATGATAAATAGTTTTCGTTTTCTAATTCTTTATTCTAGTTGTCTTAACAGGACTTTTGTGACTCAGACTTATTAATATAATAATAAACAATCTCACAAAATACAATTCTGATCAAAGTTTTACAAAGAACCTGCTTCTATACATTAATCTAACCCACTGAGACTGTCTTTAACAATTTTTTTAAAAACATCAAGAGCACCATAAATGCAAGACTTAATTAGCCATTCCTCATTAACTATATACCTCATGCAAATCTTGTGACTTTTCTTTATTAAATCAAAGTCAGCTGATAATAATAACTATTAGGAAGAACCATCACCTGTAGCCTAAGATTCCCAAGAGCATCCACATATATAGTTGACCCTTGACCTGACCCTTGACCTGACCCCTGACCTAGCATCCTACCCAGAGTTCCCTGTGCGTCTGCTGTGTACCAGATGTATGTTGGTTGTTCCCTGGCTGTGGCAGAGCAGTGAAGGGCGGCAGTATCTGTCACGTTGACTGTCACATTGGACGGAGGAACAAGGAAATTTGGAACATCTGAAAAAGTCATCATCACTAATTTTTCTTTCAAATTGTGTTGTTCTGTGGTTGAATTTTTTTTATTTATCGAAATTAACCTTTTTTGAAGTAATATCCCTAGAGAGCATAGTACTGTGGTATCTTAATACAGAGAGATTTATTATATTTGAAACCTGCTGAAAACGTGGAGGGCATGTTTGAATTTTTAAGCTACATGAAGGAGTGTGGTTTGAAACTAACCATCAATAAAATGATACGAAGTTTTGCATGAAATATTAAGTGTCTTTGAAAAAAAAGGAAACAACACAACATAAATACACACACACACAAAGAAATGGACACACACACACACACACACACACACACACACACACACACACACACACACACACACACACACACACACACACACAAAGGACAAAATATTACCTCTGGTAAAAATAACTCCTGAGTCAGAGACAGTGCTTACAGAACTTGTAGCTACACATGTGTATTCTCCTAGCTGGTCTACTCTTACACTTTGAATTACCAGTGTGTTGTTGGCAAAAAGCTGCATGTTACTATCTGAAAAACAAAACAAGTCTTTTATGCAAATAAAATACAAAATGCACACCTGGCATTAATTTAATACTTATGATTTACAAACTAAATTACTTTTAAAACAATAACTATCAATCATTTTTTGAATCCTTAAAGTGAACTGTTGTATTTTACATCACCTCTGATCATATAAGAAACAATATAATACAATGAAAATCCATGAAATGAAGCTATTGGCTTTAATGGTTGTAAATGGAAGCTAAATATATGTCCTACCTAGCACCAGTGTCTGTCCATCTCTCTCCCACCTGACCAGTGGCTGAGGATCACCAGTGGTCACACAGTGGAAGGTGACCACTTGACCCAAGTCCACTATGTATTCTGCAGGGGTTACATTGACTGTGGGCAAAACTGGAAATGAAATTAAAAAGTCCATGTTGTAACTGGCAGTCACCACTACTAACACTTGACAAAATTTAAACACAAAATATTTCCTGAAAAAAAAAAAAAAAAACAAGACCTCTTTTTTGAGACAACTGAAACATTACAACAAATAACTGATGATACTGAAAACAATGCAAATTTACAAAGTCTGCTACCAAGTAAGTTAAAAGTACTGAGCCCTACACAAGACAATTCTCGAAGAGGAACACATGGGGCATGTAAAATGCATGGGAAGCACAACTAATTTTAAAAATCTAAAACGGTATGCTATTTCAAAGTTAAAGAGACTGACTTGTAATTTGGTTGTACTTAAACTAAAATTTTATTAGTAGATAGTTAATGCTGATATTCTAAAGGTGCAGCATGCATCTTCTTTTTAAAATTATCATAAGGAAATCAATACCACTCATCAATAATATCAAATATATGTAATATAAATTTTCAATTAATTTAAACCAAACAAAGTAAAATGCGAATTCAAACCTATATAATACATGAAGTAATGCTAGAAATTTGCTGCATGAAAACAGGAGGACCCATTCACTGAAATTTTTTCTAAGTCAAAGTGTTGCATATGGTCCTTTCCAAGCTAAATAAATGTTTCATTCTTACCAGTGACAGCTAGTGGAGCAACCGCAGTTTGATTTCCTAAAGAATTTGAAGCCAAGCACCGATATATCCATGCCTCATTTCTCTTCACGCCCATAATTTTGAGACTTCCATTCCTAAAGAGCTGGTACGAGCCTCCATCTTGGATCTGCTGGCTCTGACCTATCTTGTACCACGTGATGGAAGGCTGGGGTCTTCCCGTGGCCTGGCAGTTAAAAATGGCGTCTGCTCCTTCGACAACATTCTGTTGACTAGGCATGATGGTAAATGTTGGTGGCGCTACAACATTAAGTTAGGCACTCTGCTTACTAAAGGTATCAGTTACATTGTTTCCATGTCTGCTTGAAAGAATTAGATTTAGGATGTGATAAAATTTGGTCAAAAGAAGTAATATGGCTTGGATTTACCAAAGAGACATATACAAGGCAAGTACACACTTTCAACAGTTAAACATTTCTTGGAATTAAAATGAATATAATTTAACATTTAAAGCAATTAGCTAGGGTTTGACTTACAAAACAATAAGTCAATTACTGTTGCTTTTTAAGTGTCTGTCAAATTTGTGACAAAACTAACCAGCAAAAGTCCTTGTACTTAATGTAATATTATAATGGACATACTTACAGAGCACAGTGAGATCAGCACTGGTGCTGACAGTGCCAACTAAATTGCTGGCATAGCAGGTGAAAGTGCCATGGTGCACATCTGCTGCAGCCATGATGACCGCAGAGCCAGAGGAGTCCACACTGACACCAGAAATAAGTCCACTCTCAGCAGTCAGTATCTCTGAAGATGTTAATATATAGCTTTTGAAATAGACAAAATAATTTTTTGAATTCTTCAAGTGTTTTATATCAGTCTGAACATGGTCCTTATCTCAAATGTTTTATAGACTAAAAATATTCAAAACAAAGTAACAAATGTTCTTAACCAACTTAGAAGGATTCTAGTTAAATATTTTGAAAAATTTTTCTCTATTTGTAGTTCATTATTTACAATTCCCATTAGAAAGTTGCATGCTGTTAAATCTGCATAAATCTCGAATAAAACATTTCTTTTTTTCTTTCTCTCTTGGGAGTCATAGAATTGCTACAGTGGGTCAATAAGAACCTCCACTTGGCAGCCTCCATGTGATGGTGGGATCAGGTGTTCCTTGAGCTTTGCAAAAGAGAGTACTGCTCTCTCCTTGACGGACATCAGTGTCCACAGGCACTTGGGTAAAATATGGCTTCACTGTAATCAGAACATACCTCTTCAGTTTTTTCCAAAATTTAATATTATTGTCTCATCTTTGTCATTTTTTAACCAAGTCATGTTTAATTAAATATTACACACAGTGAATTATTGATATTTAAAGGCAATTATCATACCTGGAGGGTCATCAAATTGTGCCTTTATGCTGGGTTCATTTGTCACAAGGAACTCTTATTAAAAAAAACTCTTTTTTAAAATGATTAGATAAATAAAAATTACAGACTGATTTTGATGATCACTTTGATGACAAAACTGTTACAGATAAAGCAAACATTTCCCAGACTAGTGACCTCTCACCTTGCACAGTCAAGGTGACTCTGTGGTCAACTGTTCCCTGTGAGTTTGAGGCCTGGCAAATGTACTGACCACTGTCAGAGCTCTGGACATTAGTGATTTTAATGGTGCCATGGAAGATGTGTTGGGTTCTGTCTGCTGGAAAGCTACTCTGATGCTGGAAACATGGGATGTCAAGCTCAGAAATTAAGGTCATAATTCTAAAACTCTAACTTTCATAAAAAGAACATTTTTCATGGTATAAAAACTTCGAAATAATGAAGAATTAACATATACACTCTGTATAAATAATTGTAATTTGTAATCATGTTGTTAGTACTGTTGTGCTACATAAACAATGCCAGTGCTAAAAAATCAACCTTTTTCTAAAAAATATTGCAATTTTGTTCAACACCAAATAATCTTTCAGTTTAATTCTAAGTACAGAGCCATTCAGAATGAGTTATTTTATACTAATTCATTGTGGCTTTCCTCACCTTGACCCAGTTAATGACCTTCTTTACCTTGACCCAGATAATGACCTTCCTTACCTTAACCCAGCTAATGACAGGTTCTGGAATCCCTGTAGCTGCACACTGCATTGTAACATCCTCTCCCTCCTGTACTGCCATGTCACTGGGGACCTTGGTGAAACTTGGAGGGCTCACAGGATCTAGAATGTGAGATTGTGTTAGGTGTTATAGCCACTGAATTGTGGTAGATAAGACAACTTATGATGACATGCAAATGTGGTGGACTTAAGGCAGTGTAATTCTCTCACTAGATACCAATATTTAGTCATGAGTAACAACATCACCTAATCCAGATATCCTTGTCAAACCATACCTGTAACAGTTAGCAGCACAGTGACAGCATTTCTACCCCTGCTGTTGGTGGCTTGGCACATGTAGAAACCAGCATCTGATAGTCGTACAGTGTTCACTGTCAGGGAGCCATTACTGAGAATAGTATACCTAGGGCCATTCTGGGATATAAATGATTTAAAAAACAAATTAAGTTTTGTTGTAAAAAACTTTTCCAGTTTATCTGAGATTACATTCACAACAGTTAGTGCTGCTAAGTCTGGCTTTAAAGATGAAATTCTCTTAGTCAAGAAGAGAAGCCTAAAGTTTTGGGCCAACAAACCAAATGCAATCTCTGAAACTGAACTTGAATATAATACCCTACCATTCATAATTATCTCTACGCTGAAAAGAGATTATTAGTCAAAATCATGTGCTAGTAGCTGTCCTAAAATTAGGATTAAACCAAACTATTCTCCTTCTCCCACCTGTAAGAGTTCTGCACTGCTGGCATTGCTCACATCATACCACTGCACAGTGAGCGGCTCTGTTCCCACGGCAACACAGTTAAAATGGGCACTGTGACCCTGGGGGACACTTTGGGGGCTGGGTGACACTAGAAATCCTGGACGGCCTATTGAGAGAGAGAAAAAAAAATCATCAGTAGAGGCAGTCAATAATTCAGTAAGATTCAATGTATTGATATTTACAGTAAAAAATTAGGAATGCTGCTTACAATACATTTCATAATTTCATAACAAACAATACCATCTTTCAGATAATTTGCCTGATATCTTAAGATTGTATTTTGCAAAATTTTGACTTTGTGTTAAAAAGGTGAAATGATGACTAAAGCAAAAAATGATGCATTTATGAAAAAAATTTCTTTGGGGCACAGCATGCCAAATAGAAGTGTGAAAGCATTGAACTTTTAAGTGTATATAATAACAAAGTGTATTCTACACCTGGGTGGCATTGTGACATTTTCTTTCTCATACAATTTGTCTATTTGTAAATAAATATATATATTAAAATGACTAAAATACTAAAATTTTCATTTTTTTAAATTTTGATTTTTTTAAGTCTGCAATACAGCAATGTTAGCATATCATGTTCAAGTATAATTAACCAATCAAATAAGATTCTAATCTAAATCATATAATACTATTATGGTAATAATTCTTTTTTTATCAAAATCTACTAAAATAAATTGTGAAGAAATAAACATGGACTATATCTAGCCTACATCTACCTGCTTTACCCTTCAAGAAAGTAGTCCACCGTTTTGTACGAACTTCAAAAGAGAGATGAAAGAACAGACATGATATGTGAAAAGAGAGAAAGAGAGAGAGAGAGAAAGAGAGAGAGGTATACATGCTACCTGAACAAGCCTATTAACTGAATTCATATGAGGCAGGTATAATGAACATTGCATAGTCTAATATCATCTATTACTATAACTCTATATTGTCATTATTATTATTTTTTTAAAATTATTATTACTATTATATATTTTGTGTTGCTCTCATATGAACCTACCTTCTAAAGTTAGAGTGGCTGTGTTACTATATCTTCCTGTATTCTGTATCACAGGGTTGACAGCAACACACACATACTCCCCCTGACTGTCATAGTCAACATTATTAATAGTTAACCTGCTTTGGGATGATGTAACCATGGACACTGTTCCCTTGGTAATGGGTTTCCTGCTTAGCAACCATGATATGGAAGCAGGTGGAAGACTGGAGATAGCACAATCAAAAACCACTGTGTCTCCTACGTTTTTATTTTGATTGGAGGGATTCAGGGAATAGCTAGATGCCAAATCTGAAATGACATACAAACAAATCACAAGAAATACTCTTCTGATAGCAAATTTTATTTCACACACAGTGTTTTATTCTTTTGTTACAGATCTCTTTTGTTGGTGAAATCTCCTCTCTCTCTTTCAAAAAAAAGTTGTTTCTGAGCCACTAGACTTATCCTTCTTATGACAATTCATATGACAAAGACAGATCTGGAGCAAATGTGACATAAACTGCTTAAATATTTACACTTACATGCTAACTGCAGGCTCACTGCACTGCTATACTGAGTATTTTGTCCATCTGATATGACGCACTGATAACTGCCAACACTGCCGCTGCTGACACTGCTGATGTGAAGAGTGCCATTGCTGAGGACACGGTAGTCAGGGAGAGTAACATCTGCATCATTAAATCTCCACCTAAAGTTGAAAATCATAGTTTTTATCAGAATGACACATTTTTTAAATTCATATATCGCCAACCAACTGTCAATTAATTAAAGTATGTTTTCCTGTGTCAAAACTTTTAGAATTCATCCCCCCACTACTTCAGATTTTATTACAAGTATTGTGTTGTCTATTTTCTGATACAAATTTCTGCTCATGAATCTATTCCCTCAGTTCTTAAAAAGTTAAGATTAGGAAGAACCAAAGTGAAAATTGGCATTACGAATGACATTTATAGATGCACTTTCAGACTCTTTCCAGTAATATTATAACATAATGATATGGGTATTTATTCCCTATTCTGGGCTCACTTAGGCAAAAAATTCTACTCAATTCAGGATTTTGAAACAAATCAATGATAAATTTGCTTAAAAAAATAAAAACTTACTTCACAGTTTCAGATGCCAAATTAAAAGCTGTCATGCATTTGTATAAAATTCACTGTACTGTAGTAGAAATAGATCAAGAATGACCCTAGTGGTCAGAGTTACCTGTAAGTGACCCCCCCTGTCCCTTGTCCTGAGCAGTGCCACCATAGGGGTTGACCAGCAGCAGCTATCACATCACTGGGCTCTCGGACAAAGTTCAGACCTTAGAAATATATTGTTTTATGCAATATTTAAAATGAATTTGAAGTATATTATACATATTTTACGAATCCATAGTCCTTTCATAATATTCCTCTTAACTCTCTGTTCTAAGATGCTTATGAAAATATGTACAGTAAGGCAAAATGTTCAGACAAAATGACAATAACATTTTTTTTTTAAAACACAATGAGGGCATGCTGTAACCTCTTTTACAGTATACAATTTAACCTATTTTTAGATTATAAAAATAGGCCGATATCTAAAATTTGAGCAAGGACAAACTAATGCAAATAGTACACAATTTATCAAAATCACAGTTTTAAGTTATTTCTTCCAGCTAAAATTTACCACTAACTGGCAAAATTGTACATTACAAACAAGCTTCACAAACCCTCCGTCAAAGTTAACTAAGTGCTGCATTAAATTACAACTGAACAAATAAAAAATACATTAAATTTTATGGAACAACACTTTCTCTTTTCTTTAAGAATAAAGATGGTTTTATTATGTAGTTATCATAACATCAAGTTAGTATTTTACCTTGACTTGGCTTCACTCCCCAGGTTATAAGACATACTGGAATGATGATGATGATGAAACATGAAAGCTGGTCCCTCATAGTGCATTGTTTTATCCTCTGTCTGTCACCTCTCCCAATACATCAATCCCAGTATTTTCTGAAAGTATAGAAAAATAAGAAATATGTCACACCACAGTTGACAACTCTACAAGGTTCATTTTAACAGATCACCATCATTAAAATTTGACTTTTGCACAGAAAAGTTTAAAGAGTGTACTTTAAGAAAGCTGTTTTCATCACAAAACCATTAAATTGCTTTTGCCAGTTATATTATTTGAAAAGATATCATAAGATCAAATGCTTCTGATGTGTTTCATGGAAACATCATTACCACATGTGAAAAATTGTATTGTTCATCAAGAAATGTCCAGGGTGTAGACATCAATTATTTCAGGGCTTGTCAATATTAACAGGGGATAAATATTCAAAGAACATTGAATTTTAGCGGTACACTTGACCCACAATTTATTTAAAGCCATTTTCCTTTTTTCTTCCAACCTCTCTAAAGTAAAGAACAAACTTAGAGTTATTCAATGAAAGTAAAAGATACCTTTGGCATGAAAATATTCAGTATTAAACATGGCATTGCTATGTTGGTGTGGGTGTAGAAAAAAAGTGTCACAAGGAAGGTAGGCAGGGTCTCTGACAATAGATCGCAATTAAAATTCCATATTACAACTTTCTTACTTATCCAAGATAAAACCAAAGGCAGCTTTTATCACACTTTCATAGAAGAACATGTTTAATTTAACTTGCAAGAATAAATATTATCATTATATTATTAACCACCTACCACACTAAAGTCAGGGGTAGTGCAAGACAGTATATATATCAAAATGTGGGTGCACTGGGTATTTACACTGTAATGTTTAATTGATTTGGGGTGACTAAGAAAATCAATAGAATAACAAAGAGTCACACATGTATGATATATTTAATTCACTTCCTAATAATTTAAGACACGCCCTTCCATGCTGTAGTACTGTAGTAAAATTTAGTACTACTACGTATACACTTACTATAGGCTTATACAACCTAACACAACTCATTTTGACAGCAATGTGATTCTTTTATTACGTAGCACTATCCATTTTAATGCAGTGGTTACATGAATTGACCTTACAATTAAAAAAAATTGGTAGTTTTTTTGTTTTTTTTTTCAAAAAAGAAAAAAAATCCATAAGCTAAAAACCCAAAAGATTACTATCTAAATATTCTTTTATTTATTTGCAAAAGCTATCTATTAGTTCATGTTATTATTGATTGTAGCAATTGATAATTTCCTAAACAGTGATAATGTGTATCTATCAATACTTCACTAAGCTGCAACAAGTACTAATAGAGTCTTTTCCACGAAATCGTGAGCATGCGNTGTTTTCAAAAAAATCAGGTATTAACATGTAACGAAACTTTGAAAATTCAGATTGAAATGAGCACTCCTCGATATGGCGTCCGTCGTGTACACTCCACACTTTCCCCCTGAAACTTCAAATCCCGCAAAATCTCGCGTTCCCACGGATAATTTAGCGGAAGTCACGTGACCGTGGAAAAGACTCTATTATACTGATAATCCTAGTAGCTCAGTAATCCACAACAACACTTACCATATGGTCAGATTATTAATGAAAATGACTATTTCATATGACCTTATTGATCTTAGATACTGGTATAAACTTTTAGTAACTGACCCAGTTTATTTACATATGTACCTTTGCTTTCTTTACCTAGTAAAGTTAACTCTAAGTATTTTACAATTCTAATGAGTAAACTACCAAAAAGTGAAATGAAACACCATTTCGAACATGTACAGCACATTACCAACAAACTAGATTTGGGGCACTTAACGCCATCTGGTATCATGTGTCCTGCCAAGATATATGTACATTGCAAATTTAGATACATCTCAGATGTTTTTTACTAATAAAATAATGCCATCTAAAATGAAAATTAGTCCATTTTTTCATTTTTTGGAGAAACTCCAATAGTAATCATTTGAAGTTAACATAAATTTGAATTTAACAATGACTTCTAATAAAGGAACTATTTTGATAACAATTCTTTCAGTGAACAATAGGCAGTGAACATTGTGTTTATAGAAGCTTGAGCAATTTTTAAGTTTCCTAACTTAATTTTTTTTATTTACAATACTTTTTCAGAATTCATTTATGTACTGACTTTGATCAGTGTTTTTGCTATTCAAATTTTGTTTGTTAAGTTACTGGTACTACTACTTACAATTTTTTTTGGTTGATTTTTTGCTCTTTGACAAAAGCACTCACAGTATATTGCCACCCCTGATTTGACCTCAGCTCTCATTATATTTGAATAGACCAGAAAGTCTGCAAGTCTTTATGTTTATAGAAGTCTCTCTACAGTACAGGGTTGGTGGTCTAGACTTCAAAGGTTAGGAAAATGCTGAGAAACCATGGTAGTGCCCTCTGAACTGTAAACTGACTTGCCCAAACTTATATCTCTACAACTTAGTACAACGGCGAGGAAAAAAGTAAGAAGAATTGATAAACATCAATCTGCAGGGCAAGAGAAAAAGACAAAATTATGAGCGCAGTGTCTAAATTACATGTAGTGCCTGTTACAGAGCAGTTACTTGGTATCCATTAATGTGTTATATCAGCAAAACGACGTTTGTTATTCTCTAAAAGCATAGGAATTATAAGTGAGTAGAAATGTGACCAAGAAATGCAAGTTTACTGTACATAGTCGGTGTCAGTGTTTTGGCTAATTCCTTGACTCAATCGACTCAAGCAAGGCGTCGTTTTCGCAGCCTGAGAGGTTTTATGTTACAAATCAAAACAGAATGTGGCTTTGTATATTGGCTTACATAGACCATTAATAAAATGAAGGCACAAAACAGATGCAAAAACTTACCTAGATCCAAATATACCCTGTTACTTTGATAATATCCAACGTAAACAAAAACGACCGCCTTCTTCCTACGGCTTTTCTACAATTAGGTCAAGGTCGAGTAAGGGTCAAATGAGACCCGACAGGGTATTTTTGTTTGAATAATTTCAACTCCTATTTGCATTTTTTAAAATGAATTCATTTCTTTTCACATCGTTATACTAAAACGTTATATATCTATGATGTTTAACCCTTATCAAACTGATGTAGATGCTTTGAAAGAGTCGTTGTTATTAAAATATGCCATCTTTTTTTATCTCCACGTCGTTGGCCTGTAGGCCTATAGGCCTACAACAAACAGAGCAATTGCTGCATCAAAAAAGGGCATAGACTTTATAGGAGTTCTACTTGTACGCGGAAAAAAAATGCAGAAAATGAAACATGAGATCGGAAATTTTGGAAAGTTTTTTTTTAGGCCCTATTTACTTATCTTCCGGATATATAAAAAGAAAAATATATAGGCCTATGCAATTTAATAAATTATGCATTTTTCGAATGGTCGCATTCAGCCTTCTTTAATTTTTCCGTAGGCCTAGCTGTTTACCAGTCTAAACGGGTGTCAGCACAGGGCGGATCCAGGATTATTTAAAGGGGAGGGGGAGGGGTGGTCCGCGGATGCGGATCCGCCACTGTCAGTAATATTTAAAAAGTGGCCTACAAGAAAGATGGGAATGTGAGCTTATAGGCCTACATTACTTCGTCAGTAGCCGGACTTTACGAACTTGAGGAACGGATAAGTAAGTCCAATATACGACAGTAATTTGAAGATGACACAGTTTTCAAATTATTATTACTATTGTTGTTGCTGTTATTGTTGTTGGTATTTTGGCTCACTGAGTGATTTGTTTGATTTATCCTTTAGACTTCAGTTGAGTCGCATGAATAACGGATAGTAGGCCTATTGATTTTTATGCGTTTCAGGGGATCTACCCTCTCTTCTTATGTAGGCTATCTTTAAGACTGAAACGCATATTCATTTATTCATCCAAGATTTCTGTCATATTCACGGAAGGCTTTTCATAATTCAAGTCAGATACCACAGATGCTGGTTGTGGACGAATTAATATTCTTTAATATTAAATCACCTGATTCGCACATCTTCTAGCTAGCTTTTTACTGTGTTCACCGTTCCTGATCGCTCAGATCGCAGTCAACGTCGGCAGTCAACGTCAGCAGTCAACAGTAAACCCGGCAGCAAAATAATTAGTGACGGTAAGATTGTTGTTATTCATATTAACAAGAAAATTAATTTTTAGTAGTTTTAATAAGACGTATATCACCTAAGATTTTTCGAGAAGAACATTATCATTAGCCTATAAGCAACTTTTTGCTCACAAAGCACTAAGTAACAACCGGTTAGGTCTTGGGGAAAGAGCTCTTTACAATTTGTAGCAGTAATTAAATTAATGCTGCGGATACGGGTTTTCTTTATTTTGTCTATCAAACAAGAAATTCATGCATGGCTAAAAATCACTGAAAGTTTACTAATTGAAAGATTAACCTAACGCCATAGTATACATGTACATTGATTCATAAATCGCCATGATTCTTGTTGTCACCGCATATTTGCTGTTTTTTTTTTTTTTTTCTTTTAACACTCAAGTTAATGGTAGCCACGCGATAAAGGTCATTATAATTATATAGAAATTTCTCAGATAAATACACTCAATAGTTTAAAAGAATTTAAAGTTACATGTTCATTACAAATTAGATAACAAAAGCTTTATTATTTTTGTTTGATAACAGATCGACACCACACGTATTCTACCATGCAGATTTGAAGTAAGAACGTGCCACAATAGGCTTTCAAAGAAAATATCCTGTTAGAATAGAACAATGTTTTTAAATTATCCAAGAAATTTGAAGTTGAATGCTTTTTCACACGCTCGGCTGTCATCTATGTATGTAAGCTTCAGGTCAAATAAACAACACTAATAAAAATATAAAGTGTATTAGTTTAAAGCGTACGTTAGAGTGAATATGGCGATTTTATCAAACTCTTGAAAACTATTTCTATGGGGTTCTGATAGACTAGTGTGGTACGCAGAAAGTCGTCTGAAGTCTTTAATCAGGTTCATTAACCGATCAAGGTGACGCCTAGCCCACGCCTGGTTGTGCATGAACGATTAACCCACCAAGGTTACAGGCCTATAAGAACCAGTTTTAACCGGATATTCCAATCACAGCTGTGACCTTATTGTCAGGAATTGGAGATCCCAGATTCTGAATGCCAGCATAATTTTTTTTAGAAACGACACAGATTTCTGGATGACAGCAAAGAACGACAACATACATACTTGACGCCGTTCTCTATAGACACCTTTTTCGATGCCCTCAGATACTGGGAGTTGAATAGTTTATTTGATTGATTGAGCTTATGGATTCAGAGGTTTTTACTCCATGTAATTATCAATTTTTTCACGTTTTTTTTTACATGCAGTTACATTTCCGAGAACTCCCCCATTTCAACTGCGAAGTCGACAGATTGTGGACACATTGCTAAATTTTATTTAAAACAAAGAATCGACTGAAAAAATATAAATATTTATAATAAAACTTAAAATCTTTCTGTACAACTGTGCAACTTAATACTGTAGAATATGCCACGTGTTTTTATGCTTTATTATATATATATATATATATATCTTTTGATATGGAAATAAGTTTATGCGTACCATTATATCATCTCCTGTATTGTAATGTATTGTAAGGCGTGATCACGGATATGAAACTGTGGTAACCGCTCTAAGAGGAACCAGAAGTTTGCCATTTAGATTTGCTGTTTAGTTGACAAATTGTAAAGAACAAAGCTCTACAATCTTCCAAAATGTGATCCAATGAAATGTTGTTCACTGATTGTAGCAGATGAAGGAACGTAATGGTAGAACTACCTGTTGACAAACGAAAAACCATTGCCATTTCAGTAGCACAAGCTTGCGGTCGAAGCGAAGAAACTAAAAGTTGTCAAAGAGTGAATATATATTGAGGTTGTCAAACATGCAGCACGCTATGGCAATGACCAGACTACGACTGGCTTTGTCTCTCCTGGTCCTCCTCGCTCTGCATTGCTCGCCTGTACACAGCCATGGTAGACTGTACGAACCGCCAGGTCGATCCACTGCTTTTAGGAGGGGATTTAACACCCCGGCGAACTACGACGACATGAGCCTGAACTGTGGCGGATTTGATGTAAATTATTATTATTATTATTATTATTATTATTATTATTATTATTTCCTTACAGTGATTTCTTTTGTTTTGTGTTTTAATTTAGGAATCCCATAAAGCATCGTTTTCGTAAAATATGTTAATGCTGAGAATTTTTTTCAGTTTCTAATATTGCTCTGTTTGACCATTTTTGGTGGCAATAATACAAAATTTAATTCGTTCGGGGTTTCCTCCATTGAGGTATATCTTGAGTGATCACATGTCTGACAAGTAGATGTGATCTTTGAAGTCATGTGTTCAACGCCACGTCTCGGATTAAAAAACGATTCTATTTCAGTTATATTTTACCGTGCGTAAACCAGGTTTCAGAATTTCGAAAGTCCCTTGAACAGATCTTTATTCGAGAAATAAAAAAAAGATAGGAAAATGACAACGAAGATGTTCCCTACATTTGGCTACTGTCCAAAGTCTCACACCCTATTCTTATAGCGGAAGAAAGGACATACGTGGACCTTGCAAATAAAACCATCGTCCGTTGTAATACTCAGTAAAGTCACAAGGGTCGAGATATAACACCCAACTTTCTAACTTCCGGTCATCCACTTCCATCAGCTTACCGGGCAGTGGTCACAATCCTTTTGTAGACGTAAGCACATGGGTTTTTGGAATTACGACAAATTTGCGATTTTTTAAGCTAAAGGATCAGCATGAAATAACTGTTCAAGTGTCAGGACAAATAGAAAAAATATATAAATCTATTAATTATGCTTGCAAATAGGACGTTTCACCAAAAATTTGACAAGTTATTTTGTCTTGTTTAAGTTACTGAGTTATCTTAAATGGCCATATTTCCGAAAATTTCAGAACCAATGGAACGTGCAAGGCGGAAAGTGTGGCGTATGTGGCGACCCCTGGCAAGGTCCTCGTGAAAACGAGGCTGGAGGGCTTTACGCCACGGGGACCTTAGTGCGGCAGTATACAATGGGAGAATATATGCCAATCGTAATAGAAATTACAGCACCGCATAAAGGGTGGTATGAATTTAGGTAAGTACTTGATGGATAAAAATCACACAAAAGTAGTGCATAGGTAATACAAGTAAGTCTTGATAAAATATACGCTACCAATACTGCTATACGTCCAATATTTTATCCCGTGCGTCAAAATTAAATATAAAGCAATTCACAATACTGTTTAAATATTTTTAAAGCGCATATAGATGTGCTGACTGTTTAGTAATATTTTTTATCAACCCTTTTAAGAAAATATTTAATGCAACGTGCAGAACAAAGGTCTTCACATGCGTCAAAGAAAAGTTCTTGTTACAAGATAATTAATGATAAGTGTAGGATTTAATTTTCGTCAGACTTTGCCCACACAACGATCCCAACACCCCCGTCAGCTTGGAGTGCCTGGACCAATATAAACTTCATATATACCTACATGCTAATGGGACGACTGTCAACCGTTACCACAGTTTGGATGAAACAAATACCGGATGGGTAGGGGGCAAGGTGTACCTACTGGCCAAACTGCCTGATTACGTCACCTGTACACAGTGTGTGCTGCAGTGGAAATGGCACGCCGGTGAGTGGTGTGACGTCATATTTAGGGAAATGACGTAATGTTTAACTGACCTTAATTTTAACAAAAATACAAGTGACATGTGAATTCTCATTTGGGGAAATTAAGTTACGCTTAAATTGAACATTATATTAAGATAAAATCAAGGTACGTTAATTTTATCGAAATTTCGGTGGGGGGATTATTTGCAATATTTTCAGATAAAAACAAATAAATATTAAGTAACAAAGTCAACTTGGGGCTTATATTATTTTTTTACAGAACTTTCACTCCTGTAATGTTTGTTAAAAAGTATTTCTAATGTATTTTCTCCTGAACAAAAACTTATACAGTAACGTGAATTTCAATATACAGTACAGTTCGTTCTATGTGCCGTTTCATTAAAGTACTGCTCAACCATGTGCATGTCATAATATACATCTTCCAGGGAACAGTTGGGGTACAGACCCTGATGGGACCTCTTGTCTGGGCTGCGGTCCACAGGAAGAGTTCTACGGCTGCGCAGATATTGCTATCTATCCACCTGGGCAAGGGATAGGAGGAGTCACGTTGCCTGCTACGACACCAATGACTACTACAACACCAACGACTACTATAACACCAACAAATACTACAGCAACAACGCCTACCGGTACCATAGTGCCTACAACTACAACAACGCCAACGACTACCACAGCAGGTAAATCAAGAGACATCACTTCATGTGCAGCCTCAGTTGTTCATGCCAATTAAACTCAATTTATTAGTGTAAAGAATGATAATGATTATGTCACGTATAGCATTCGAGGTCGTATATAGGCTATGGGATTTCGCACAAAGATTATAATTGGCGTTTCCATTAAAATGTATTACCGGCCGCCATTCTAACTACATTCAATATCAGTATTGGAGAGATAATCATATTTTAATAAAAACTTAAAAGATGTGTTTTAAAACCTCCTTTTATTCACTTTACCTTGAACGGTGCTACGGTATGCATCGCTTGCATTTTTTGATTTAAGAGTAAAAGCAATTCAATTTTGGAATTGGACTATTAATAACATTATTTCATTGGAGAAAACCTGTACTCTCTATGATGTAATTACAGGTTATTTACAAAATTAGCAGGAAGATTGCATTTATCTGAAACCTGTGTACTGTCTCTTTAATCACATTAATACATTTCTAAATCTTTTTCCCATTCAATGTCAGAATTTCATTCCAGGTGCTATTACATGTGGCGACAGGCAGTTCCAACCTGACCCTAACGATGTAAACTGCTACTACCATTGTTCTAATAACATACCGTATCACCAGTGCTGCCCGCCGGGAACGCAGTGGTCGCAGACCTTATTGACCTGCGTTTGGACAAAATAAGGACCCTGCGTCATGGATTATTAGCTGTAGGGCACTTCCTGCTAATGACCCTTGCGTGTGAGGGCCCTTGCCCATTGGTGTGTTTATGACTTAATAACACCGGACAAATTAATTTCACCTGCTCTTTAGTAAGTTAGTTGATTAAGATACATTATGCTTTTAAAAAGGCAAAGACCCAATCAGGATCTGACCTAGATCTGATCCCTATTGGAAAGTGGTCTAGTCCAGTTTGCAACTGGACTAGTTAGTAACTGGACTAGTTTGGATCTGACAAGTGACACATACATGGTTACTAAAAGATAAAAGTGCATTTATTATGATCTGCTGTTTTAACGTGTTTTAATCCGCTTAATCTGGGAGGATAAATGTTTTTAACGAACAAAAAGGTGGCGAAACAGACATGTAATGTATTCAATACTTTGAAAGGTAGGTGTGTGTTACATCATTTTTAAAAGGTGTGGTTTCAGTTTTGTTCAGGTGTTTAAGGAATTATTAATATCTTGAAAGACATTAATTTGGTTTCAAAAGAGGTTTACATTTGGGTTGTAATTGATATCTTGGGAACATCTATTATTATGAACCGGTGTATTATTCACTTTATATTTTAAAATGGGTTTGCTTTTGCCAGATAATCTGTTTTAGCTGTTAGAGGAATTCGTTGTTGTGTAGTTATGAAAAAAGTCACTGTGGTTTAAAAAGGGGCTTAAATAAAGGGAAGGTAAATAAACTAAATAACAAAGCTTTTTTTTATTGTTCAAAATAAATCAAATACGCATTTGGCTTATAAACGAAATTGCTGTTCACGGCTTGGGTCCGTGGCTGAACCACGATATCAAGACCCAGATGTACATGCATAAATACTGTCTGCGGGCGTCGCGTGATTTACTTCCAACCTCAAATCCCGTCACTCAACGGAGAGAATGTATCAAAATGTTTCCACATGACATTCTGAAAAACCCTTAATCTTGATCTTCGTATCTTCAGTCATATTGAAAATAGTTCGTGGTCGAAAAAAAGGACCCATGTGAAAAACAGGAAGAGATCTGGTAGGAAGCCACCCCAAACAGCACAAATAGTTCTCGGTCCAATAATGCGGTGCTAATAGTCAAATGGTCCACGATTGAACTCACGGATCCACCCGAAATCACTAATTGACCCTCGCGACGCGTGTTCAATGATGTTGCCAACTTCTGTAACATGGGGTTAGGTCACCGCCATCATCCTCACAGTGTCCTTGAGCATCTACAGTAGTCTCTCAGTTCTTAATTCGTCTTTCAATTTCCTCAAGATCAAGATCTGTTAACCATATTTTTTCTGATCTGGTACTTCTGACCCACCAACCTCTTTCTGTCACCTCGAACATGTTACGCTCTTTCCATAACTCAGGCATCCTTTGCCTATACCCAGCCACTGATGGTACGGTACACTTACATTTATCAATCATTTCACATTTTCTTAAGTCAACAGTTAAATGAAAAATAACCAGCATTTGATAAATAGTGATGAAAAACAATGCATAATGCAAAATGTACAATATTGGTCAAAAAGGTTGTCCCACCCCCATTTCCAAGTACTTTTATTTACAAATGATCAGCTCACAAGTGTAAATTTTTATAACTAGTGCTTTTTTATTCCAAATATCACGTCTAACATGATTAATGGTTCAGAAAATACAAAAAAGTGGTGAAATATACACGTTTTATACCATTTAGTCAAATTTATAACAGGTGCCCCCTCAAATCAAATGTTTCAATGTGATTTCTACAGATGTAAAGAAATGTCTATTAAATTGAAAAGACGCCATCAAATGTCACCAAATTTGCACACAATTAGCATTAGGATGTGCTCGTTAAAGGTCACGCGCCTAATAGCGCGTGCGTCTACCGCGCACTGCAATTATCTCCTGTAGATGGCGCGACAAGCCTTCAACAAGGGTAAAAATTCTGTTTCGTGGGATATTACCCCATTCTTCCTAAACAGCTTGGGGGAGTTGGTCCACGTTTTTATGGCGTTGGTTCTCCTCTGCATTGCACACTCCAATTCATGTCATAGGTGATTAGTAGGGTTAATATCAGGGCTCAAAGATTGTGGTTCCATCCTTAGAACATTGTGTTTCTACAACAAATCACTTGCCAGGCGAGAAGTGTGAGCAACTGTGCTGTTATGATGAAGCCTGGAGTTAACCCCAAAGTCGGTTTTTGAAGATGGAGTGAGATATCAGCTGAGAATGCTACGTTCAGTGATCCCACAGGGACCTGAACCTGGCCATCCATCACTGGAAGGAAGGCGGTTTTGCTGCAGAATCAAATTATTTCTTGTATCCCATCGATGTCAAATGAGGGTCCGTAGACATGTTGAAAAATGCCTCTTGGAAGGGTGTGTGCAGGATAATATCGCCTGAGGTGTTAGGTCAGTCGGCATTTATGGAACATTCCAAGCCCGTGGTATTAGTACATTTTTTCCTTCTGGAACAAAACGTAACTGGGCCATTTTACGGTAACATTCTCAACAGATAGCTCACTCCATTTGCAAGAGGTGACTTCAGGGATGCTACCTGCTTCATTGTGACAACGCACTGGCTCACAGCTCTCGTCTGGCAAGTGATTTGTTGCTGAAACACAGGGCTCTAAGGATGGGACAACCTCTTTGAGCCCTGATATTAATCCTACTGAGCACCTGTGGCATTAATTGGAATGTGCATTGCAGAGGAGAACCAATTCCGAAATAATCTGGACCAATTCCGCCACGCTCTTTAGGATGGATGGGGCAATATCCCACAAAACAGAATTATTAACCTTGTTGGAGGCTTGTCGCGCCATCTACAGGAGATAATTACAGTATGCGGTAGACACACACGCTATTAGGCACGTGACCTTTAACGAGCACATCCTAATGCTAATTATGTGTAAATTTGGTGACATTTGATGGCGTCTTTTCAATTAAATAGACACTTCTTTATATCTGTGGAAATCACAGTGAAACATTGGTTTTGAGGGGGTACCTGTTATAAATTTAACAAAATGGTATAAAATGTGCATATCCACACCACTATTTTGTATTTTTTTTTTTTTGACCCATTAATCATGTTAGACATGGTATCTAGAATAAAAAGCACCGTTTATAACAATATAAACGTGTAAGGTGATCATTTGTAAATAAAAGTGCATGGAAATGGGGGTGGGACAGCCTTTTTGACCAATGTTGTATGTAGAGGACTGCTAGAGGAGGACAGCAATTGCGATAGGTGTGAATCAAGTGTTACAACTGATGTGTTCGTTGTCATCCTCCAGAACTACGTCAGGTGCAACGAACATTTAATGCAAAAGAAGGTACGCAATGCTTCTGTATTCTTAGTCTGTCATTCAGAATTTCAGGTTTCATACAGTATTACTACCGGGTTGGTGTGGATAGCTTATTTTATTCTTGTAACTCTTTTTAAACTTTATTTCCACTACACAGTATTTGTTGCCACAACATCGGTCTGTTGAGAATTCCTGTGGAACCTCAGCAGGTACGCCATTTTTATCCACTGTATAATTATTTAAACGACCTCCCTGAGACGTTTAACTTTAACCGACCGTTTAGCAGATTTATCTGCCGTATAAAGTTATACGTCTTTCATGCAACCCGTATAAAAACCGTTACACGGCTGATTAATCCAGCGTATAGTGCTATACGGCTTTCATACAACCCAGCACGGATATATAAAAAGAAAAATATATAGGCCTATGCAATTTCATAACTTATGCATTTTTCGAATGGTCACATTCAGTCTTTGAGCGCATTCTCAACGAATTAAGCCAGGCTTTACAAAGCCGGTGACCTAAAAATGGCGGACGTACATGAAAGAAAAACCGCCTAATCTTTTAATAGTCTCTCCGCCTCTCACACGCCTCCCCACACGTCGTCCCTGCGGGGTACAGTAATTAAATCTCGGCTCCGAACATTAATATTTCCGTGAATATCTCTGGTGATATTATCTCCGTAGATAGTCGATTCATTGCTGCTCTACGGGCCAAATTATTCCTTTTTCGTCTCTGTTTTCAAAGATAATAGAACAGAAGAGCTTTTTTCCTTCGATCGCCTTCAGCCGCCATGCTTTCTTCACCACGAGTTTAACTGATGAGCATGCGCACTTAATATTTCTCAGGTAGCTTCCGCATGGCGAACGGAGACGCGATTTAATTACTGTACCCCGCAGGGACGACGTGTGGGGAGGCGGAGAGACTATTAAAAGATTAGGCGGTTTTTCTTTCATGTACGTCCGCCATTTTTAGGTCACCGGCTTTGTAAAGCCTGGCTTAATTCGTTGAGAATGCGCTCTTTAATTTTTCCGTAGAGTACAGGGAATGTGAGCTTACACATTGCACGAACATGAGGGACGGATAAGTAAGTCCAATTTACGACAGTAATTTGAAGATGGCACAGTTTTCAAATTATTATTACTATTGTTGTTGTTGTTATAGATGTTGTTGTTGGTATTATGGCTCACCGAGTGGTTTGTTTGGTTTATCCTTTAGACTTTAGTTAAGTCGCTAAGAAACGGGTAGTATTGATTTTTATGCATTTCAGGGAATCTACCATCTCTTATCTTTAAGACTGAAATAGGCTACTATATTCCTTTATTCATCCAAGATTTCTGTCATATGCACGGATGACTTTTCATAATTCAAACCAGATGCCACAGACGCTGGTGGTGGACGAGTTAATATTTTTTAATAGTAGGTCACCTGGGCTCCGTATCTCGAAAGCTTCGCCATGTTGCGCACGTGCGCAAGCGTCTCGATTCCATAACTCGCCCATATTCGTCCCATATAATACACTGTAGCCTCTTTTTGATATAGCGATTCGCAATACGCGATGCTTTCGAGATGCGGGGCCCTGATTCGCACATATAGCTTTTTACTGTGTTCACTGTATCTGATCGCTCAGCAGATCGGCAGGCCACGTCGGCAGTCAACAGTAAACCCAGCAGCAAAATAATTAGTGACGGTAAGATTGTCGTATTTATATTAACAGGAGTATTAATTTTTATTAGTTTTTTAAAATTAGACGTATATTACCTAAGTCTGGTTAATATTTTTCGGGAAGAACATAATCATTTTAAGCAACTTTTTTTTCACCACAAACCACCATGTAACAACCGGTAAGGTCTTGGAAAGCCACTCTTCACAATTGCAGAAGTGATTTTATGCAGCAGATACGGGTCTTCTATATTTTTGTCAATTAGAAATTCATGCACAGCTAAAAATCACTAAAAATTAACTAATTGAAATGTTAACCTTACATCATAGTATACATTGATTCATAAATTGCCATGATTCTTGTTGTCATCGCATATTTGCTTTTTTTAATACAACACACACGTAAACGGTAATCAAACGATAAAAGTCATTTTAAGTAAATTTTTTTGAATAAATACACTGAATAGTTTTAAAAAGAAAATAAAGGTACAAGTAC